ATGATGACGACCCCTTCATCGGTTGGTCTGAACACCACCTTTCCATTCATGAGCAATGACATGGTCTCAGGGACCGCCGGGCCCGACGATGATGACGGGCCTCAGACCGTCACGCTCACAAGCTGGCTTGTACCTCTCATATTCGGCATCATCACCGTCGTCGGAGTCAGCGGCAACGCCATCGTATGTTACGTAATATCACGCCATGTTCAGATGCGTACAGCGACGAATTATTACATCATGAACTTAGCTATCACCGACATAGCGTTTTTGGTGTGTTGTGCACCGTTTACAGCAGCTGTGTATGCAACGAATAACTGGATCTTCGGCAGATTCATATGCAAATTCGTCATGTACATGATGCAGGTACGTAGGCGACTATTCCGTATCGTTGATAGACACCGGTGGCGACACTAGTATTTTTACATGGGGATGGGAGGGGTAGACTGGGGGAAATTAGATACTGGAAAATATTTTTTCAGTCCAAGAGAATACCAGAAAAACAGTCGTTTACCAGCCCTCCAAAATTTGTTCGGGCTGCGGTGGGAGAAAATCGAATTCAGGACATTATACAAAAATCTTGCGCCTCATTCCTGTGTTGCATCTGAAAGGCATTGACCACGAGTTTAACGTTAATTATAATGACAATGGAATCATCTACTGTACCATGGATATCCTTTAGAAAATTTGAGAAATTGTGATTGCTCAAGCTGGATATCGGGGTAAAATTAGAGACAAAAAAATGAACTTCACATGAACCGAACGGGACATCTAGATTGTCCTCAAGCAAACGAAATCCAATTAACGGGATTTCAAGAATAATGTGAATCAATTTAAACTTTCTGGTGTTTGCTGTTTCTATTTAATAACCCATAGCCCTGCCCTCAATGACGTACATTCAAATGTACACATAAATTCGGTTGCTTTGACCATGGACTTACTTCGTAGTAGGTCCATGCATTGACCTATTTACCGCTTGTTAAATAAATCGTGGGGGAAATATGAAAATTTTTGTTGTTGGTTAATGTCACATTCTTTTTTCTAATGGAAATTAAAGAACCTGAAATGAACCCGTCTTTAATCCATTTATTTCTCTCTTGCTTAAAGCGTATATAAGATTTAGGTACATTAATCAATATAATTAATAGGATTAAATCTTAAATATAGCTATCTTAGCCCTGTACTTCATGTACGTGACAGGTATATTCCAGTATACTAGGAAAAGTATGATATAAAGGGCAAATGACCCACTGCCTTCAAACGAAATTGACCTAGATTTTATGACTCTTCAAGTTCTGACCATATTCAAAATGGGTATGTTCGTAGTTCGCTCTGGTATAATTATGACCCCAAAATATTTACGTATGTTTTACACATGGAGACGTCCCACTTTGTGCATTTTAGAATAATCACTGCCAAAGTAATGGAGATGCTTTTGTTGGCCCTCTAAAGAAGAATGCTTCCACCTGTGTATCAAAGAATTTACTGCCGGTGTATTAACACATATTGATTACATAACTTACATGAGCACGAATCAATTAGTCGCCACGACAAAAGGGCTTATTGGTGGAATTCGGTTTCTTAACTCATTGATTGTAATATATTTGTGGTGCATATGCGATAGTGTACACGTTTCTGATTTTTTTTAATAAACCATTTGTGATCATCATGCTGCATGGATAAATTAGATAACAGCTTGATAGCATTTTTTATTTGCGTTTTACTGCGTTTTAACTAATTTGTCGACCAATTATTTATAAATTTTTGCCCCGTACAGAAATGTTTCTTTCACATAATTTTTTTTTTCAATAAGGAGATTGAAGCTAAATAGAAATCTAAAAGATTATAATTGGACATAAAGTGTTGATCGGGATTGCCTGAAAATGTTCAGAACAATCTCTCGGTTACCTTGAATTGTTTGTTATGTCTATACTTCTATATATTCCACTTTATATACAGTGTGTTTTACTTATTTAGTGATGATTTTGCCGAAGTTACTTAATTTAAAAGAGTGATTTTTTTGTTTCCCTTCCCCTTAAAAAAAAAACTATGATAATGTCTGTATCTCCTTTCCGGTTGCTAGGTAACAGCTCAAGCCACTTGTATGACGTTGACAGCAATGAGCATTGACAGGTACCAAGCAATCATGCGACCTCTACGGTCATTAGGGACCAGAACTCAATCTGGAGTGCTAGTCGTTAGTGCTTGTATATGGGGAGGTAAGGTCATTCAAGTTTTTTGATGTTATGGATTTTTTTTGAAAGGCCATTGAAATGTTGTTAAGACAATGACTTAGTTTTTGTAATGAATGGTTTATTGAAAAATACTGAAAATAGCAGCTCGATAGGTGAATTACATTCAGTTTACAATAAAAGCACGTGAGATATAATTATAGCAATATTAAAACAATTTAATATTACATCAAGCTTACGAGAATAAATACAAAGATATTATTAATAGGATATAATATTATTTAAAACAAAGTCATAATTAACACTATTCTAAAAGTTAACACAGTGTGAACAAAATTACAATTTAAACATTGTTAATTTTGTATAAATTTCGAAAATGGTGACGAGATAGTTCTTTTTAAAGAGAATCAGAAGAAAAACAGCAAGGTATAAACTGATAATACAAATGAGTTTACATGAAGAAATTGTTTTCATGAAGAAAATGATATTAAAACAATTCTTCCATCTATGTCCAGTTTCAGCGTTAATTGCGATTCCTATCGCGGTGTACTTCGACGTGAAGCAGTTCGAGTTCGGACCCGTATGCATCGAAGACTGGCCGAACAAACAATATATGTACCCAGCCTACGGTCTCTTCACCGTCATCGTCCTCTACGTCATTCCCCTCTTCATCATCGTAGTCTGTTATGTTTCCATGCTAAGAACGCTCTGGAGGACATCTCTACCGGGTAAGTGACAATATGATCAGATGGCAGCGTCTCAATAATTGCCCTTTACGCGAATATAATAATAATAATACAATAAATTGTTGTTATTGATAATGGAAGTGGTTTGACAACAATTTCATTGCGGTCAAATGCCGCATTATGAAATCTTTAAAGGTAAAAATCAGTATTAGAAACGCTCCAATTTCAAAAAAGGAAATGGAAGCTCTTATTACCAATGTGAAAGAATATGTTTTGACTAATACATGATGATACAAATTTTGCCGGGAAACCGCCTACTAACTGATATATTTGGTAAATTAGTTTATCTATTGGTATGTGAGAGATAAACGCACGTGTCGCGCACGTGTGCGTAGTATACATCTTTTTGTGTACAGTGCTTGTAACTTTACGAAGACTGGGCCAAATTTCTTATCATTTTGATGATTCCAGAACCTTGCAGATGCTAGATGCTAGATGATCAACCTTTTCTGATCGATTCCACAACGTTTCTTTCACGATGCAATCTCATGACCATAACCGGTCTTTATCTTTAACATGATAGAAATACTATACAATCATGTAAATCATAAAATAAGTACGCAAATAATCATAGTACAACATGCTAATCAAATAATAATATCTAATTGAACATTTGGGGAGATGAATGAATGAAGTTACTCAATTGGGGTAAAACATAAAGAAATGCAGTATAAAGAGAATTACATGTACATCGTAATCCAATATCATTATTGTACTTTGGTTTCAAGGCGCACAAGTCCCACAGCTGCGTTGTGGGAATCGGCAAAATTAAAATCATCTTACAAACCTTCTTTTAGGTATAGCCAAATTATTACGACCACTGCCTAATGGTATAGGATTCATATGTAAAAGTTAACATAAAATGATTCATATTGTGTCTTTGCAGTATAAAAGTAAGAGTCAATTAATTGTTTCCTCCATTCAGTTCTACTTGAACAAATTCCTGTGATAACTTCTTATTTTGTCCTTTCCCCTTATATTTCCAGGAGAAGAGGAAGCTTGTCAAAGCCAGAATCATCGTCGTGCTCATAAACAAAAACGGCGGGTAACACTGATGGTACTAAGCGTCGTCATCGTCTTCGCTGCCTGCTGGTTTCCCGTCTACGTCGTCAATCTATGGTTCCGCTTCGATCCCAACTTTCCTAAAACCAATTTCATGTACGGCGTCAAGGTCTTTGCGCACCTTCTCACCTACGCGAACTCGTGCATCAACCCGTTCGTGTACTCGTTCATGGGTCGGAACTTTCAGCGGTATTTTCGGAAGGAATGCGCGTGCTGTTACCCGTGCTCTTGCCAATCGAAAGGGTATACGCAGACCGGTGGTCGTAAAGTGATGACGGAGGACCGCGCGATGGCACATTTTAAGTCAGGACATTCGACAGGGAATACGCAGTCGACGGTGGCTTTGCCACTCTTCTCTCGCAGCTCGCGAAGCTCACAATCATGATCACTGTGAAAGGTGAACTAGACGAGGATACTGATGTCGAATTGTCAATTTACATTATCAGCATTGTCTAGAACTGGTTTTTCACTATCATGACTATAATGTCATTCTTGCACGCTGAAGTCTCATTTTGTTAAGTAACAATTTGAGAAGTCGTTCAGGAATACTTCGGGTGTGAGCAATCATGTTAATATAGACCTTTACTAATATTTGATACTCGTATAAGATGGAGCCACATTACATCATCGAGGCATCACAGAACTAGGGAGTAATAATACTTAAGTAAATTTTCGCAAAAGCTGTGACCCTTTACCGAATCTACAGCCACGATTTTCAACATCAGTGGTTCTGTACAGGTAAAAAAATGATCTGAAGCTGATAATTAGAAAGTTGTGACTTATCAAAATCTAAATATTAAATAAAAATGTTTGAGAATTTTAAATCGGCTTATTGGCCTGGGAAAGATTTTATTTTGGAATCTCAACGTAAATTCGTGACTTACATCTGATATCAAAACTTTCACTAATCTTTTTCTATCCGTTATGTTATATTCAGAGCCATCTATCATGTCTATTTACAAAGTTAGGTCTACTCCTCTCGAGTTGGGCACAGTATGGCGACTGTTCATAGTTGGGCAAGTACGGCTCAAGAGAGTACACGCCATGTTGGATCCAATTAAATTGTAGCCCAACTCAAACTAACTTGGCCAAACTCTTGGTATCAACTCGAATACGCATGTTTTGCTTCAAGCAACCTGCCTTCTGAATTGTTTCCCAATTCAATTTTTCTTTGTAAATGCATAATCATGATTTCAGGTAGTATTTAAATATATTCTATAAACATTTGAAAGAGCATAACTATGAATTATTATACATCTGTTTTTCAATACAATTCACATGCTGGTTATTATACACGTTTGAGAGTTTATATATTTATAAACTACATTGAATTATGTGTAATGTGTATACACTAATAGATTATCTGCAATCTAAATAATGTTTGTGTATTTATTGTTCTTTACTTGAATATAGGCTAATCTATGAGATATAAATGTATATAAGCATTGTACAGTATTTAAATTCTTTTGTATTATTACTTCTAAAATAATATATACTTAGATAAGAATACTATACCGACGTCTATTTTACAATACAAGTGTCTGATTGTCAACTTTGGAACTTCTTTTCTTGTCATATGGTACCTGATGTACGTTGTTACTGTGCCTTTCGATGTTTATTTTATTTATCAGGTTTTGTTTTTTGTCTTATACGAAACCATAAAAGCAATGGAATTGATTGGGAATTCATTTTCACGCTTCACTTCGAAGTAACTAGTAAAACAAAATGGAGGAAGTGGTTGGTGATTGTACGGTTCAAGTTTCTTTCTCTAGCATGTTCAAAGACACTCGTAATACTCACAGAAAAATGTCGGTCAAAACAAGGGAAACAGCAACACCACCAACTTCTACTAACCTACTACAGCAACAACTATTACCACTACTACCATTAGTAGTACTACAACAAAACCCACAACCACCACCATTACTTCTACTGCTACTGTTGCTGCGGTTCGACAACAACAGCAACTACTACTACTACTACTACTACTACTACTACTACTACTACTACTTCTCGGAACAGCTTCAATGACTCTTATACCAACAACAACAAGAACAACAACGACAGACAATATTAAACAACTACTACTTCTACAACTACTGCTACTACTTCTACTTCTACAAATATGGATTAAATGTTATACTACTGCTATTGCTGCTGCTGCTGATATTACTACTACTGTGCAAAATAGGTCTAAATCAAGTCTTGGATGTACATAATTTCATGCGAGCAGAAGTGCAAACGGAACCCCTGTACGATTGCTAAAGAAATGTATAATACTGCTGCTACTGCTACTACTACTACTTCTAAAAACTACTACTGTAAACTACTACTACTATTATTATTACTATAACTTCTACTTCTACTACCACCACTGCTACTACCACTATAAATGTATTATTATTATTATTATTATTATTATTACTACTACTACTACTATAACTCCTAGTAGTTCTACTGCTCGAACTGCCACCAATATCACTACTACTACGACCGCTACTCATACTCTTAATACTACAAAGTACTACTACTACTACTGCTGCTACTACTTCTACTACTACTTTTACTACTACTACTACTACTACTACTTCTAATACTACTAGTATTATGCATTTCTACTACTGATATAACAACTACTAGTACTACTGCCGCTGGCGGCCTGGCGTTGATATTACTATATGACTACCACTACCATAACTTTTACCACTACTTTTACCACTTCTGCTTCTAATGCTACTACTACTACTGCTACTACTACTACTACTACTACTACTACTACCACCACCACCACCACTACTAAAACTCATAAGTGTATAAATATTACTATTTCTAGTACAACTACTACTACTACTACTATTACTACTGCTACAACAACAACCAACATAACTACTACTGCTGCTACTACGACTACTCCCGCTACAACTATTGATACTGCTACTTTTACTTTTACTTCTACTTATATTACTAGTACTACTTCTACTTCATTACTTCTGATACTACTACAACTACTACAACAACAACTACTACTACTACTAATACTAATACTACTAATACTGTTACCATTAATACTTCTACAACTTCTAAAACTATCAATAATAATACTGCTGCTGCTGCTACTACTATTACTACTACTACAAACATTACTACAGTACTACTACTACTACTACTACCTCTGCTGTTTCTTTTACTAATACTACTACACCACTACCACCACCCCCAACAACAACAACTACTTCTACTACCACCACTACTACTACTACTACTACTACTACTACACCACCACCACCACCACCACCACCACCAACAACAACAACAACAACAACAACAACAACAACTACTACTACTTTTACTACTTTTACTACTGCTATTACTGTTATGTCTGCTTCTACAACAACAACTACTACTACTACTTTTAATACCATCACCACTAATACTACTACTAATACTCCTACCACCACATAAAACTTATTTTTTCTACTACTACCACTACTACTTTTACTACTGCTTCCACTTTACGTCTACTGCAACTACTACTACTACTCCTTATACTAATACTACTACTGCTACTACTTCTACTACTACTACAACTCAACTACTTATTCTTCAACTACTACGGGTAAAACTACAACTAATATACTACTACTGCTGCCTCTACTAATATTGCTACTTCTACTACTACTTCTGTTACCATGAATACTTCTACCATAACTACTACTACTACTACTTATACTACTCCTATTGTAAATTTGAGTGCTTTGTACTTGTTACTATACTGCTAATAATGACAGTGGTAACATTTTTTCTCATCTCTTGATTAATATCACATCATTTGATGCGACAAGTACTACAATTCGCAATTCGGGGTTACCCCATGTTATCATTCTGAGGCTGTCCAAAATTCTTTTTATTCTTTTTTCTTTTCTTTTTTTTCTCTTTTTATCTTACTTTATTGTTCTTATCGTGCAATTGCAGCGTCTTTTTGGAGTCTATGAATTTTCTGTTAAAATACATTATAAAAAAAAATCTTAAAGCAGTCCATTCGCGTGTGTGTTAAGACTATGAACTGTTATCGTTTAAGTTTATTGTAATACGAGGTCAAAGTTATGATATTTTCAACAAAGATAAAGCATTTTATAGGGTATGATCTATATAGATTAACTACAGTTAACAAAGTATGTTCGTGATTTTAATTTATAAAAATACTAAAGAGGCTTACTGGTATCATTGTCAACAGAATAAGTAAGATTAGATTTATAAATTGTGTCACCGATTAAAACCCAGTGATTGTCATTATATTATTATTTGTTAGAACATGTTATTCTTTCAGGCTATTTGTAAACAGAATAATCTTATTTTATGTTTTTTTGTTTTTTTTGTTCTGCGTTGACGCGATAGGAAAGGGGAGATATACAGCACGTTTCGTTTATTTTATTAGTATGGATATTCTCACAACGTTATTCTTGCAAAGGTTTTGTTTTCTTATTTTTGTTTGTCTGTCATAGAGTGAATATTAATAAAAAGAAGAAATTTAAAGGTTTAGAGTATTATATGTCTGGTCGTCATTCGAATATTTTCCTGTCGATTTTCAACCTGCACATTTTTAGAGGATTTATTTTTTGAATTTGCCTACATTCAAAGTATCAATACAGCATGATCAAATATGTTTTCAAATATTTACCAATACTACACATCTAGAAGTTAAAATAGAGTGGGAAAAGGGACAGACGACAAGTAAATATATCAAACATTATTGTTGAATAGGAAAGTATGGAGGTAATACCCCCACAAAACATTTATTCCTATAGAGTGAGAGATCATGGGGAAACGAAAGGCGTCAGTGAGAGTGAGTGAGACAGAGAGAGAGAGAGAGAGAGAGACGAATATAGATAGGCATCCAAATAGTGCTGAAGATGGAAAAAGAGTGAGGAGAATGTGAGTACAAGAAGAGATGAAATTGAACATTATGTTATGAGCAGAAAGTTAGCGGATTTGAAGGAGGGGCTCAGGGTTAGGCCCCTCCTGCTGGATTTTTCGACCAGGAGAAAGAAACATAATGCACTACTATTAGTACTAGTGAGCACGTTAGAAATACTATCAAGTCAATTCAGGAAACGCAAGAAATGTACTGGCCTATTCCCCAAAGATGGTAAGCTTAAATATGTTGTCCCTCTTGAAGCTAAACTGGATAGGCCATGAAGCAGAATCTCAGTAGATAGTACGGGACACAAGAAATATAGATTAACAGCATTTGCTTATCAAACTTGTTTACATAATTGTAGAACATCGAAATATTTAGGTGTAGAAAGAAATGATTATGAAAAAATGATATTCTTAGTGGCATTATAAACATAGGGCTAAAAAGGGTATGTTTCTTTGACTTTAACTCTGTATAAATACTTGGAATACAAATAACACAAAGTTTTACCATCGACTCACATGTTGAAGTAAGAAGGGGGAATCCCCTGACACGCCCCTTGGATCCGCCCCCTACATTACCATACACATGGACTGCCCTGGGAGTTTTCAGGTTTGTTTACATTTCGTCACATTCACGCTATAGTCTCTAGCAATGCGCATGTATCGATGTGCGATTCATTGCAATTCGATATCAAATAAAAAAATTGCCTTTTGAAATATTTTTAAAACAAATTTCATAAAATAAAGGCAGTTAAATAAATAACTCTTATATTTTGAAATAAAATTCCAGAATAATTTGAGTAAAAATAAACAAATTTATTTTATAAAAGTTTGCTTTACTTAGATTAAGACTAGCACTGTTAAACAAACGAGGTACGGACATCAGTTTGCACTGTGGAAATAGTGAGTAAAGTTCACGAACTTGAGAGGGTTATCACGGCAAAATGATGGACTTTGTGACACCCAGCAGCCGTTCGAACCCAGTGGCCTAGCCCATACGATGTGCCTCAATGTTTAATCTCCGGACTAATGATCACCAACTATAATTTTACGACCATTAAAGTTATTTTAAACGGACGTGGACCGCCTGCATAAATTTCGTTATACAGCCAGCCTTCTCGCTATGTTACGTGCGAGGAAATTGGTACAGCTCTTCGTCAAGTCGAATCTGTGCACGAGCAGCGCTGTAGCATCAGAAGCAATGGCGACTCTATCGAAGCGTGGGCAAGTTGCCGTTGTGACTTTGACAAACCCGCCACTCAATGTCTTGAGGTAAATGATAAATTTGATGTTTCAGTTTTATACTGCATGTAATTTACTAGGCCTACATCATCATGTCAACCACCACCACCATCTTATTCTTAACCTGTGGAAACCTGTGATTGTGAACAGGTGAATCATTTCCTGTATGAAATTAAATGGAGCTCAGCTCAGTACACTACAATACATACAGTAGTCTAGATGTGTTTTTATTTTAAAACTGAGTTGAAAGAATTTGAAGACGCAGTCACAGAATTAGTAGAACACGTCTGAAGCTTATGCTTATGTAAACCTAATTTGTATCATTACTAAATTCAAGAGTAAAAAACAGGACGGGTTCAAGTCAAATGCAAGACAATAATACAAACTCCTTGAATGGTGACGCCGCCGGTCCTTGATCTACTCTGATAATTACTAAGATTAAGAAGTCACTGCTAGTAACATCTAGTAAAGTACATGAAAGTCAATGAATTTGAACCTGTTCTGCTAATGATTCTTGTGTTTAATATTATGGCTAACATGTTATTAAATTCAGCCGAGTCTGTTTGTGCTCTGTCATTTAAACTAGAGTTTTTCCACAGTGAATGAAGCCTACAAATGTAGGCTGTCTCATTGTACTGTCTATATACCCAGACGTTATGTGTCAGGCTAACAGGTTGTGTATCTGGACAGTTGACTTAAAATAGTAATTTGAGGAAGTTTACATGCTAAATTTTCATAAATCTTTCATTCAAGACCCCACCCAGGCGGATGACTGAAGTCTGCGTTGTGTGTTAACATGCCCCTCCCCTTGTTCATAGATGCAGGTTATGTCAAGTGGAAAACACTCTGTCCCTCGGATAGGATGTTAAATGGAGGCCCTGTGTAGAGAAGAGTCACTACCTTTGCACGCTAAGAACCCACTGCACTATTCGTATAAGAGTAGGGGGCAACCCCGGTGTAGTGGTCCACCTGCACACACCCCCAGTATAGTACGATAATACTCTGTAAAGAGGTCTGTACTCAAAAGGAAGAAGAAGAAGAAGACTTCTGATAGACAAGGACAAATAATTATGATCATGTTTACTGCTGTTTGGTGCATCACCGTGCATGCATACCAGACAAACGTGACGGCTTTATTTGCGCCCGGACACACAGCCTCCTATCATACAGGTATGATGGGGTCGTGTGTTGTCTGGAAACCTAAGAAAATTTGAGCTGTCAAGTTTGCAATTGAATTTCTCCAAAAAATTGCATCAAGTACTATACCGGTACTAAAGGCATGAATATTTACCACTATGATATTGTCAACAAACATTTGAAAGATTCATAAATATTGTCTACAAGCTCATTGATTTACTGTTTGAAAGAATCTTTCTGAATATTCAACCTTTCCAGACTTCATGTAATTATGTGAACCATTTTACCAAAGAGTCAAGGACCTTGTGCATGTTCGGAAACAATATCTGACTTACATTATGGATAAGAGTTTAATGTAAATAGCTGTATCTACTCTTAGTCTTTGACTCTTTACACTGTAACAAGTTTTTATCTATGATCGAAATTGATATATCTGTAGATGATTTTCATAACTTCAAAATGCATGCTCTGTTTAAACAGTTTATCATAAACTGTGTAATAAATAAAACTCTTCATGATAAAGTCAAGCAATGGGACTGTATCTGATGTAATGGAATGAAGTATTTCCTAGTGGCAATACAAATCCTATTATAGTAAAAATAGAAGAGATCAACACCTATAACTTCAAGTGTGTTTGCCTTTTTGATAGAATGCATCATAGATTTTAAAACAATATGAAAAGAATGTAGTCAGAAATTTCCCCATGAAGGTTCCTAACTTCCTATTTCTAAATTCCTATACCTAAACATACGGTTTATTAATGTACATTTATTTATCTCTTTCTATTTCCTTTCCTATTTCTCTGTGTCACTTCTTTCTACCTCACAGCTACCCAACTAGAGCTTCTATAGTTCAATCAATCAAGGTGAGTAATACTTCATGTATTTCTGGTTAAAAAAACATGGCACTTCTTCCTAGAGTTTTTCATCACAGTTGAGCCTTGTCCAGGCTTGACTGACAAAAAAAAAAAAAATACTGATCTGTAAAGAAGCATTCACATTCATATAAATAGAGTATATATCAAACATTTATGGCAGATAGATCTTAGAGTATATTTGGGGCCCAAAGATGCATGCAGCTTTTTTCACTTTTCAACAGATACAGTGCTTTCCAGAATACCAAGGTCATTGCATTTGATTCTGCAAGATATTCATCACTGCACTTACAAAGAGTCAACATGGATATTTATGCACAAGTACTAGCACCACCTCTACATGTAGGTTGTAGGTCAGGTTAGCGATTCCAAAGCATAAATCATCAAGGTGCCCTCTTTCCAAAACTATGCAAACAAGAGCATCCAGAACCGGTGCAATATGTATGTGAAAGGGTATCCATACAAAGCAGTATTTACATTCATATCTAAAGATTAGAGTGTATGGTGTAGTGTATGCACAAAGCCTAAAGGTCAAACTTGTGAAGGTCAACACACCTTATGACTGAATTATTTTGATTTTGAATAATGTAATGTTAAATGGATTGGGTAATTTTGTCTAAGATCCTTTAAAAAATCCTTGATTTAGCTCATGCTGCAATGATAATTATAAACCTTCAGGTCAGTCAGGAATCCCATGACTTTTACAAGCCGATTACCTGTCTGATTATCAAGATATTTATGATTTCATTGTAGATTTATTCCCATGCAATCAGCAACTTACTCACTTGAATGTGTATATTCAACTATTGAAAGTTCAGATATGATAACTGCTCAAAAACATAGTTCCAACTTTATAGGGATTAAGCATTCATATTTTGATACGTTTACTTGGATTTCTTTTATTTTCTTCAAATTGCTATACTACAGGAAGCAGAGCAAGATACATCAGTAAAGAGCATAGTCCTCTGCGGCTCTGGCAGAGCATTCTGTGCCGGGGCTGATATCACAGAATTCACCAATCCTGAACTGGTCTTCAAAGGTAACTGAGTGAACACAAAAAGTAATATAGAGTTACTTTTATCACATTCATGTTACGCCCTTTGTACTATGCAGTGTATTTCAAGGGGACTTGGCAAAATCTAGTTGCTCTAAAGAAAATGGAAATAAAAATTATAACAAAGTGAATCAAGGACAAATCAAAATGGTATCAACCCTCCATAGGACATTGACTTGAGTATAGATAGAAGCAGACAAATCCAACATACACTATTTTAGTCCAATTGAATATACCAGGGCCCCATTGCACAAACTTACCATTGGTGGTAAGTTGGTAACTACATGTACCATGGAAACCTTGATTTAATTGGCTGTTTAGCCCTGTAAGCATGGTAGTTGACATTGATTGCAAAGTTACCACCAATGGTAAGTTTTATGCAACAGGCCCTGAACAAAGACTTATAAAGTTAAGTCATTTCTGAATTAAAGTGAGATTATTTATGATATAGGGAATCTCTGTTTGGCAATAGGGTCATGGTTTGGTGACATAAACAAACATAATTGGACTTCCTTGTGCATGTGTCTCCGTTATTGTACTACCGCATTATCCATGAATTTTAGTATACTTATATTTTCAAGATTTGTTGTCCTTCCATAGAACCACACTTGATAGATGTGACCAAAGCGGTAGAAGCATGTAGCAAACCCGTTGTAGCAGTCATGCATGGTACATCACTAGGAGGTGGGGTAGAGCTTGCACTAGGATGCCATTACAGACTCATACATAAAGCTGGAAAGTAAGTATTACTATAATTGAGATCACAATTGTACGTGTGGGAGTTATGGAAGGGAAATTCACAGTGTTGGTACAATTCTCATTTGTGGCCCATGTAAAGCAATTATACTGTACATGTATATATGTCCTCTGCCACTGGAACATTATTTACAATTATAAAATGGGTTCAAGAATGTAGCCGATGAGAAGTGTCAAAAATTTGATGCTATTGTTATACAGTATTTTTAGATTTAGCTGTAACTGTCTTCCGTAGGATAAAAATCCCATCAAATATTAAACATATTGCTGTTTAGGGGATAAAAGAAGAGAAAAAAGGTAAATTAGCAGAAACAATCTCATGCCGTATTTCTTTTAACAACAAGGTAGGGGGTAAAGTAATCTGGGGTAAAGGCCACCTACGTATAATTTAATAGCCAGAAGAACCTATTTAAAGGAACTCATTTCTTTCTTCTATCTCTAGGATTGGTCTTCCAGAAGTGCACATTGGTCTAGTCCCTGGAGCGACAGGAACTCAGAAGGTCCCTCGGGTCATGTCAATCCCTAATGCCATTGATATGATAACCTCAGGACGCCATATATCGGCCAAGGAGGCTCACAAGATGGGCATTATTGACAAGGTTGGGCAACTAGCTATCAAACTCACCATCAAACACTCGTGGTATGATACTCTCCACTATTTTATGTTCCAGTTTACGTATACAAGTGGAGGATGGAAGCTAAGTGAAGTATTGTAGCCCTCAATAATTGAATATACCAATAAAAACAAAGATTACATGTTCAATCTGTACTGAAAAAATATGTATTTCTCAAGAGAAATTAATGTTGCAGTCACATGATGTGTTTTATACATTGTACAGTGTGTATGAAAATGTAAATTTATGAGTCAGTTGGAAGCATGATAATTTGATTTGATATTCATCCTTCTAGATACACCTACATGTACAAATAGGTTGAGAGAAGCCATGTACCACAACGCCTTATACTGTAACTGAGCACCTTTAATCCTTAGCTCAAAGCCACAGACTTTGCATCCCTTTTTTAATAACGTCAAACCACTTAATTACAGACTACTACATAAAGCTGGAAAGTATGTATTACCGTAATTGATATCACAATTGAACACCCATGTTCACGGTTTGAGACCCGCCGCGGCACTTATGTTCTTTGGCAAGACATTGATCTACATAATTTGCCACACTCAACCCAGGTGATGTAAATGGGTACCTGATAGGAATTAATTATTTGAAATGCTAGAGCGCTGTAATGGCAGCACAGCTAAAGCCGGGGTAATAATCTCCAAGTTTGGAAGCGCTTAGTGATTGCAATATGCGCTATATAAAAACTAAGTATTATTATTATTATTGCCGTGCCAAAGCCTGTGTGGACCACTGGACGGGACTTGTGTAGTGACTCGATAAGAAGAAGAAGATTATTATTATTATGTCTTTGCGTCAATCTTATTACTTTAGGTACTGGAAGACGATTACATGGAGCAGGGCGTGGCCTTCGCAGAGAGCATTGCCGGTGATCCAGTAGGACCAAGGCGTGTCAGTCAGATGCCGGTCAAGGTTGATGAGACCACACCCATGGTCTTCAAAAGTATGTGCAGTTTAATGTACCAATGAATTTGTATTATCGGGTATCATGAGTGAAAGTGTTGTTTCATTGGTGTATAATACCTGTTCCTAGAGAAAAAAGAAAGTAGTTTTTTTTAATTCTCTTTTGGATATCTTTCCTGAGAAAGGCCTGAGAAGGCAAAGTGGGGAAATACACTGATCCCTCAAAAATAAGGGTATCTGACCATTTTTGCTCAAAACTGACTCCTTGATTCCTTGTTTTCCTTTGGGAGGACACTAGTGTGTCGTAAGAGAACGGTACATACTATAGAAATGATCCCTAAAAGGAAAACAAGGAACCAAGGAGTCAGTTTTTAGCATACATTTGTATATATGATTATGAAGTTTGAATATTTAGGGAGTCTTGTCAGTTGGACATAATCTTTCATTACTTCAGATTAAGGGATCTTGGACAGATACAAGTATTTATGGAAATATGCACTCTGTTCTCATCCCACTGGTTTTAACGCATTGCCTACTGAGACCTGGTAGCCCCTGTATTAAACCAATGGCAATGAATAAATTAAGTAGTCAACGAGTTAATAGTAACCTCTTTCTTTCCCCTTTTTTAATTTTTAGAGGTCTTTCACAACTTCTAAGAGCAAATCGCTCACCGCTCTTGTGTACATGTAGTTATTTCTTTTGTAACTTGTTTTTTGTTCTTTTTCAGTGGCTTATGAGAAGGTTGCAGCCAAAGCCAGAGGCATGTACTCTCCTCTCTTCTGTGTTAAGGCTATAGAGGCTGCAACAAAGGCAAGCTCCTTTGAGGAAGGCCTCAAGATGTAAGAAAATATGACATATTATTTGTTAATTCAATACAATTATTTACACATATGTGTATGTACTGTGTTTGAGATACCATGTAAATATTATACAGATATGTTTATTTGATATCTTTTATATTTGTATAGAAACAGCCACCGTATAATTTTTATACAAATTTTACCTATAATTGTGTGCATGACCAATGAATTTGAATCAAGTCAAATTGAACTTGATTGAAATACAGAAGTACCGGTATAAAACTAGCAGTTTGTTGTGTATAGCAAAAGGCTATATTTGGCCGACAAACTATAATATTTCACCTATTTTCATTTTGGAGTTATAGCAAGTGGGGGGCAGGCTTTCACCAGTAATAGTTAATTGTAACTAAGTCACCAATGCATGCTTAGCCTGTATATACATGAACATTGAATTTGTGTGAGAGGAACCATGAAGATGAGAAATGGAGGCATGGATCTCCTTTTATTTTATTTTGTCATTCCAATGAGAGATGCGAATTCTGCTTGACAATCCTGTTTCTGTAAGCATCATGTGTGCATATATTTCGCTCATTCATTTGTTGTTGTTGACACTTCCAATTTGTTGACATTTAATTCCCAGGGAGAGACACATTTCAGAATTCCTTGGCCTCGGAGAACAGTCCGGAGCTCTCCAATACGCCTTCTTTTCCGAACGAGCCGTATCCAAGGTAATAAGTGGGAACATCATCATATAATTTTCATCAATTTATTTTGGTTTCAAACATTCAGGGAGAAAAATATTCAGACTTTCCTTGCCATCTCGGATCAAACCCAGGCACTCCAATATGCTTTCTTTGCAGAGAGAGCTGTCTCAAAGGTACATTGGCATTTAATTTCATTTCATTCCATTTATATAATTCTATTTTAATGTCCTGTCATTCCATTTCTTGTTAAAGCTGTGAGTGCCTCAGGCGCCTTAAAATGACAACTTTGCCTGGGAAATAATTCATCAAAAAGGCTCATCTATCCTCTTGAACTTCAAACAAGTTTCTAATTTGTTATGTTTGATACTATGGAATATGTTGAAGATTACTGGGCACTGCTAGCCCTCTACTATGTATTGTGTGAGCATAGTAAAGTTATTAAGATTTACTGGAGGAATTAAGATACATTTGTAGGTCTGTCCCATTGGTATCAATTCTGTTCCTTTTGGTGCTATATCAGGTTAATCTCTCACAAACATCCCTGCCTAAACCCCATTCTCCATCTCTCTCTCTCTCTCTCTCTCTCTCTCTCTCTCTCTAATTGTTCCAGTGGCATGTCCCTGATGGGTCGGCCAGCTACAAGACAGCCAAGGGTCAAGAGGTCAAATCAGCTGCTGTGATTGGTGCAGGTACCATGGGTGTCGGCATCACGATGTCAATGGTCATGGCTGGTATACCGACCTATCTCACAGAGCAGAACCAACAGGTGAGGGTTTGATACGATCTAGGGCCCCCCCCCCCCTGGGAAAAAAATGTGTAAAAACGCATTAATTTTACCTTTTTTTTTTAGATGGCCCAAGGGGGTGGATTCGACTTTTAAATTTTCAGGAGCAAAAAAAAAAAAAAAGAATAGTGCCCAATACCCCCCCCCCCCCCCCCCCCCCCCTACTGAGCGAAATTTTGGCCAGCACGATCTTTCAAATTTCAGCACACTAAATTTCAAATTGATTTCGAATTTGGCTCCCCCCCCCTAAGAAATAGTGGAACCCCACCTGGCCACAGCTCATACACGCTGCTGCACTGTACTGTGAAAATTGAAATTTCAATGTTTTTCAATTTCAATGAAATAAGTGATTTTTAGTATACCATCCCACATTTTTGAGATTTTTAAAATTTGTGTATAATAACATGAATACAAATTGAGAAATATGAAATATTACTGTCTGAGATACTGTTAATTGTGTTTTAGGTAGTCAGGTAAGAGAAAAAGCCTATTCAGCTCTGAATTTGGGACTGCTGTGGGACAACTCTAGTACTACTCTGAACCGACATAACCTTGCTCTGCTTTCTTTGATTGTTTGATTATTTACATGCAGTACCTTGACAAAGGTCTGAAGATGGTGCAGGGTATCCTAGCTCATGGGGTCAAGCAGGGTCGTATGAGCGAGTCCAAAGCCCAGCAGATCTTCTCCTTGGTCCGTCCGACCCTGACCTACAATGACCTGAAGGACGTTGATGTGGTGGTCGAAGCGGTCTTTGAGAACATGGCCTTGAAGAAGGAGATCTTGAAGACACTTGATGGTGTCTGCAAGCCCAGTGCCATCCTTGCTAGTAATACATCCACACTGGATATTGATGAGGTAACTTGTATATTCCATGAAACTTTACAAGCTTCTGTATCACAAAGCTAATACATGTACTCTTACCTTTAATAGATGTACATGTATGTTCACATAATTTGGATAAATTCAATTCCTCATGTACAAGTTCATTACAGTATGTTTGATTATACTCCAATTGTGTTATCTCAACAAAAAATTGCTCTAAGGAATTGAAAGCATAGTGTGTCATAACAGCTAGTGCATCAGTGGCGTATAAACCCATTAACTACTGATTTCTGTACTCCCCATACGCTCAATACAAGAAGCACCCATTTCCCGTAGGCAAGGGGTAAATTTATTACAGCGCCCAAGACATTTGAGGCTGAGCTCTGGGGAAAATGTGTCTTAACGTAAAACTAAAATCTACCTTTATTCAAGCAAGTTACACAGGTGCAGTACCAAACCCTTCCATGTCCTTGACTGATTTTCTGTGAAATGGGTTCATTAGGCCTAAACAAAATATAAGATGTATTGCCCTTTAGGTGCCAAAACATGGGTCGGTCGGTCGGAAATCTTTTTCTTTTTTTAAAGTCTTTTTTATAGTTTTTGCTTCCTCTTTGGGCTAATATTCCTTAGTTTTGAAAGTTTTTATACACATTTTTTTTAATTCATTAAACTTTTTTCTTCTAAAAAACAGTAAAAAAAAAAAAAATTAAAAAAGCCAACAGTAGATTTCAAGATTTTTGGGTCGGTTGCAAAGAGCAATACAACATCTTTTGTTTTAGGCCTTATCTATTTGTTTTCCACACATTTCAGATGGCTTCAGCCACCACTCGTCCTGATAAGGTGATGGGGATGCATTTCTTCTCTCCTGCTCACATCATGAAACTCCTGGAGAATGTCAGAGGTAAAGATACCTCACCAGAAACCATGGCAACAGCTATGGATCTTGGGAAACGCTTGAAAAAGGTAAGTGCTGTTCACAACCCATTGTTAATATAATAAAACACTCCTCTATCATTAAATATGATGTCTGGGGTGTTTCACAAAGATCCCAAACTTAACTCTAAGTTGGACTTAAACATTTGTAGCCTTAAAATAAAATATATTCAAAAGCAAAAATTCAAGTATTTTAAACTTTTCATAAATTCCACATCAAGGACATGAAATCTCCCTGATTTAACTTTGAAATAACTTTTACAACATATTTTCAAAGATGCTAACAGCTTTCCATAATCTTTACGTCCAACTTACATATACATGTAATAAGTTCAGCTTAGGATTTTTGTGAAACACCCCCCAGAAGATGTAGAATATTAGTGTTCAATGATTATTATACAAAAATTATAATAAAGAAATATTGCATTATGGTTGATGCTAAATTCAAATCATTGTCTCTGTTAAAAAAAAAATTGATTTTTTAAAAAAATATTTAAGTACATGTACCAGTAGTTAAATTCTGTGTATCAAACACACTTACACTGTAGTAAATAAAAAAGAAAAAAGAAGAGTGAAATCTTTATAGTGGGTAATGTCAATGATTCCTGCAATGATCTAGGACATTTTTGCTTTTTCTCCTTGATTTTATACATAAAAGGAAATTAAATAGTTCATATACAGAGCGACTATAGAGAACAATATAGATACATTAATACATTTTCTTTTATTAGATCTCAGTCTTGGTTGGCAACTGCCCTGCCTTTGTTGGAAACAGAATGCTTGGGCCATATTCTAGAGAGGCCATCTTCCTCCTGGAAGAGGGTGCTCTTCCCAACGAGGTAGACCAGGTCTTGGAGGACTTTGGTCTAGCTATGGGTCTCTGTAGGATGGGAGACTTGGCAGGTGAGTCTCGACCTGGGTGGTGTTTCACAAAATTTCATCAGTGACAAATGACAGTTTTTGTTATAAGCTACTGAAATCCTTGCTTCTGATTGCTTATCGACAGATTTATCACTGATATTTGTCATTGAAAAAAGGATTTGTGAAACGAGTCCCTGGCCTCTAAATAAGAATCGGTAAAAAGAAGCACATTTTGGACATCCCACTCCATTGCCTACAGGAACCATGTAGTTTGTGCACTAAGCCTGTTTCTCATAACAGAATTCAGTAGTCAATGGGTGAAGCTCCCTTGATTTAGAATTGGGTCTAGGAGCACACTCCTGTCACTATCAAAAGCACTGTTATTATGCTCATTATCATGGTTATCAATGCCGCAACCACCCCAATCACCATCATCACCATTATCGTCCTCATCATCAGCAGCAAAATCTTTATCAGCAACATCATCTCCATCATCATCATCATCATCATCATCATCATCATCACTATCATCATCATTGTCATTGTCATTGTCGTCATCATCGCCAGCATCATTTTCACTATCTTCATCATCACCATTATCATCATCATCACCATTATCATCATCATCATCATCATCATCAACAAAACCACTACCCCACACTGTTATCATCATCACCACCACCATCACCATTCTCCTCCTCCTCCTCCTCCTCCTCCTCCTCCTCCTCCTCCTCCTCCTCCTCCTCCTCCTTATCATCATCATACTGATCCCTTTCTTACATTTAGGTTCACTTCATCCTTTTGGCTGTAACCCACCAATTAATCATTGATTATCTATGTGCAAGTTTATACTACCTCAACAACCAACCCTTTTAGCCACATAGCAGTCATTTAGCATACTTCTACATATGTATTCCCTGGCTGATGCATATTTTCCTGGTGTGTTTTGTAGGTCTTGATGTCGGGTATAAGAGTCGTAAGGAATATGGTTACATTCAGAGAGAAGGACAAGATGATTTCATCAGGAAAGGAGAGCGCTACAGTCCTCTGTCTGATTGGATGGTGGAGAATGGAAGACTTGGACAGAAAGCAGGTAAGAATGATTGATCAAAGGATAGAAGAACTGAGAGAAGAAATAATTGATTGACAGAAGGAAAGAATAATTGACAGAAAGAAAGAATAATTGACAGAAAAAAAATGAAAGTGGTAATTTTAATGGGATCAATAAATCAATTCAAGGACTATCAAGAACATTCGGGATAGAGGAACAAAGGAGAGCAGTGACAAATCAACCAAGTGGGAGAGATAGAGACAGATTGGGAGGGATTTAGAGATGGTAATGGTACACAAGAGAAAACATGAGAAAGAAAACTGGAAGTCGGGGCATTGCTAGACATGATTCGGAAATAGGGGTGGGGGGGGGGGGGTTATTTGGAATGTTTAACTCTCTTTGGTTTTCAATTTACCAACAAAGATGAAAACAAAAAAATCCAATCTGACCATGTGGGGTTCAGATTGTTGTCCACAGTCGTCCAAATTGTCATTCCATATTCGTGGAATGCATAGAATGTATTGACTGTGTGAATAATATGTCATCAATGTTTTTTTTTCTCGTCCAGGCAAGGGTTTCTACAACTATGGCAAGCCAGGCGGTCGCAAGCCAGCAGTCGATCCTGAGGTCACTCAGATGATCATGGAGGTCTCAGAGAAGGCTGGTATCACTAGACGACACATCCCAGCACAGGTGAAGTTTCAGTCTCTAGCTCAGTGTATGTTATGTCTAAGGACTCTACCTGGAACATATGGATTATCTGCATTATGCCAAGATCATATTGTATCCAACTGGTTACAATTTCTAAATATTATGCAGGCAAAGCTCATTGTTGAAAATATTGCATGCAGTACATGTAGATAATGGACAGGAAAGATGTTTGACAAGATTCTTTGTGCAATGTTGTATATTCCTACAATTCAGGTGTGTGCTATGACAAACTGAAATTAAGATTGGAGGGTATTGCGTATTTCCCTTTTTTATGCCCGTAAAACTTTCCCATTACTATGGTATCCTAGTGCTACCTCATTTGCAGGCATGTATCACAAATCATTTGTGCTGAGTCAAGTTAGGCAATTGTTATTTTTCCTCATTACTTTTTACACTAACACCCCTTCCTCTGTGTAACTTCAAGAAGAAAATAATTTCCTTTGTTCAAATAAATGAGAATTAATTAGAAATGTGGGCAGATCAAATTGCATACAGCATGTAAAGGGTTAAACTAATCTTGATACCTTTTCTTTTAATAGGAGATTCTTGAGCGGTGTCTGTATGGTCTTATCAACGAAGGTTTCAAGTGCTTAGAAGAGCAGATAGCATCATCGGATGAAGATATAGATATGGTCTGGTAAGAAGACAACTTTCTACTGCTTCATACTAGGTTTAAAAGCAAGCTTATTTGCTCAGCAACATGTTCTGCAGGCTGTATTTCATCAAAGGAATAGGGTTAGGGATGCAGTTGGGAATGGGTTTTAGGTTAGATTTAGGGTTCGGGTTAGGTACAGTGTCTGGTTTGGATTGAAATTGGGAATTCAGTCTTCGTAGGAAAAACACTCGAGTAATTGTCTACAGAGTGTGCGTTGTGTGACTATAATTTTGTTGCCTGATGATAATTCAAAAGTTACTAATCCTTGAAGCTGAACTTGCTTAAATGTAGTGCTGAAAGTGTGGATTATTTTATATGTGGAAGTTTCATGGCTATTCTTGAAATAACATGCCCTAATTTGTTTTATATGAGCAGTATTTCATATCTTATAATAAACTGTAATATGCAACTATGATTTCAAAGAGAAATATGAATAATTTTATCTGTGCAAACTGCTTATAAGACTGGACAGAACAGTTTTGTTGTGCTTTCTCACGTTATCATGCTTCTAACGAAAAGTGGCCAATTGTGCATTATTATTAAGCTGTCTAAGATCCATGGAAAACTAAGACATACTGGTACACTGTACAATGTACATTATCACTTGCAAACTAAGACATTCATTTGCTCATCTATGAATGGTTGAATAGCTCATAAATTTCCTTTCTTTTCTCCATAGTAGATATCATTTTATGGTTGGCCGAGCAAAAGTATCAATCTTTAAAAAAAAATGTATCATCAAATGCATTTTTTAAATTTCTTATTCTTAAGTGGCTATAAATGTCATGCCTTTCCTCTCTCCTGCAAATATCTTTTAGGTTGTATGGTTATGGTTGGCCGAGACATACAGGAGGACCCATGTACTACGCTAAGAATATCGTTGGCCTGCCTAAAGTTCTGGAGAGAATAATGTTTTACCACTTCGAACATCGTAAGTGGAATTACCAGTAGTTTATTTCATCATACATGTTATTATTATATGGTGTCACCTGTGCATAGGAGGTGAAAAAGTGAACTGAATCACTGTAACCCTCGGGTCTCTCCTCCCGGTATAACTGATTGGGGGTGCATAGCTTGACCACTACTACATGGGTTTTCCCCTACTCTTATATGAATAGTGCAGTGGGTTCGTAAACCCGGAGTAGACTCTCCTCTTCACAGGGACTCCATTTGGCATCCTATCAGAGGAACATAATTTGTATGTAAACCCATCGATCCTTAATTGAGGGTTCCTGTCTTATTTGATTTTGTATTTATTTATTCATTTCAACATAGTAGCCCCACCAGTAGTTAAGATACTGTTATGCTTTGGGGCCCTGCATAACATAAACATACATATAAAGACATGCATATACATGAAAACATTATTACATGGTCTTCTTGATTCCATTCTCCATGTAACTCTGTCTTGAGCCACTCCAGACTCTGCTTCTCTCATCATGTATGGAATATGTGTCCAGTCATACTCCTCTCCTGATCCAGATTGAAATATTGCACAAAATGGAAGGGGGGGGGGGCATTGAGGGGTTAAGTGCTTTTTTGTGTGAGATAGAGAAAAATATATTTTGTTATTATGTGTTCCAAATGTTGAGTTGTCACTTTTAAACAAGACAAGTTCACTTAAAATATGAAAGGTATTCAGAGGGTGAGGGTGGTTCATTTTGCTTTATTATTAAGTTTCAAATTTTTAGCCTGAACATAAACACTTAATCAAATTTCAAAAGCTATCTGTACAAGTATTTGGTTGATCTAATATCATACATGTACCAAGACAGGCCTGTGATTACTGTTGAGGCACAATTATAAGCCTTACATCTATTATAGATGTTCCAATTATGGTACCGGTATTCCAAGATATTTACTACTTCACCATCTCAATTTCATGTGGAGTCTGTTGTCTATCTTTTTAACCGTTTCTCTTTGAATTGTTTCCCCATACAGCTAACAGTCCATACTGGAAGCCTAGCCAGCTACTCATAGACAGAGTATCAGAGGAGCACCCACACGCCAGCAAACTGTAGCAAGCCAGTAAATTCTTCATACAGAAGCCACATTGGAAGTGACTTCATAATCAAATTTTCACAATTCATTGAAATGACCTGTTTCAATAAGCTAAGCTTGCATTCTATGAAGTTCCATTTCATCATACTGCATCCGCAATAGCGCCAGCTACGACATAGGTCTGAGGAAGCTTGCAGGATGCAAGTGAAAGCTTAATACCAAAACAGGAATTTTGTCCACTGATTGTGAAGAAAGAACTCTAATTCAAGTAACATCACCAATCAGATGAACCTCTTCAGTGATTAATCAACAGTGTTTGATTTAGGATGTACAGATCATTCCAGATATCTGAATTCCAAAATCTTTATAAATGAAGCTCCAAAAGACCAAAGATGATAGATTATTCATTGCAGATCTATTTTTCTACCCGAGTCCCACCGCTAAGCCAACCGACTTGGTCATTCTTCTGTCTTTCGTTCTGTGTGTTGACAAATATAGTGTCAGCCATGCTGGTTTGACTATAGTATTAGTTAATAGCTTACCGAGATAATGGCAACTCAAGTTATTAATTTGATAATATTACTTCTTATTCTTTAATAATTCAATTATTTTTATAAAATGCGGTTGGTATATGTCTTTTTGCATACATGTGATCATATGGATTAGCTAATATGCCAAGTATGTATTCTATTTTGCCCTAAAATATGGATTCTGTGCAAAAGTAAAATGTAAAAGGAAATACAGCTGCAATGTGACTGATGAAGTCCTACATGTAATGTGTATCCAGTATAGAAATGAAATCCCAAAATATTAGATAAATGTTTTATTTATCCATCGTTAGTATTTTTTTTTTTGAAGAACAAATTGCCTAATATATTGAATGCTTGCCCTATCAGGTATAATACACAATACTCAAATACAAAGATTTTATAGCAAACCAGTTTTTATAAGGAGGCTCTACTGTACCATTATTTTGTTAAAATCAAAAACAAGAAAGATGGCCAATTTATGTAACAGAAGTACATCAGCTGATATGTTTCTATACATCGTATTTTATTGGTCATTATTGTGATAGGCAGTGGAGAAGAGACTGCACAATGTAATGGTTATAACAATATGTCAATGTAATTTTTGTCAATGAAGTTTTCACATTGATTAAGTGAAGTGCCTTCATAATTACATGTATAACTTGTTTACAATACTGAAATGGATTTAATCATGTGAAGAAATGTCATTTGATTGGTATTTTGGCAAACTTGTTGGTTTGTTATCATTTCTTGGAAGGAAAAAATGTAATGGAAAAATACAAACAAATAAACGATTTTAAGAAAATGAGAATTATGTATGAACTATGTGTTGTCTTTTAACCTTCCTGAAATAGTTGGATGAATGGATAATTTGTTCACTTATGAACTGCAATTGCTGTTCAAATGTTTTCAAACTTATGTGCCCCCCCCCCTTATGATCCTAAATCTACTGCTCATAATAAATCTCTTTTCAACAGGAAAATTGGGGCAACTTAAACAGAAGTGGCAATTGTGTCACTACCTAAATGTAGGAGGAATAGCTTTGTATATGCTTCCATTTAGATCGATAATTGAAGGGGTGAAAATATCAATTCTAAAAAATGAATACTGTACATGTATGTGATAATTCATACAATAAACATTGCCTATGTTTCAACTTGCCTATACAGACAAATTTTATATACTATGTAGCATGTGTTTTCTAATTTGAAATTCCAGACATGATAATAAAGTGAAATTATTTTACATATGGTTTCCACAAGTTTTTATGTTGACATTACATCAAGTGCTGTATTTTTAGAAAATATCTGTTAATTCCAGCCAACATCAACAGCTAAAGAAATACAAGTTACTCGCAAATTTCTTCCAATTTTTGAACAGAACAATATTTATTGTTTTAACAGGAAATACAAAAATGACAAAGTTTTCTTCATTGTTATCATTATAATCATGAAATTGATTCATTTAATGAATTATAATTATTTGGCATTGATCCACCATGCACTAGCTAATGAAACATAGTTTTGAACTAAAATCAAAAGCAATGAATAAAAACAGATTCATAAAATTCATCTCACCATATGTTATTACAAATGCACCTGTAAATTAGAATGAGTCCTTCAAGGACAAAGAAATAAAAAAGCGAATTTGTCTTTTCCAAATCCCTTAAAAACTTGACTTTTAATAGCCTGCTGATTGAATTGTATTCTATGAAATAATTGAAATATTATAAATGTCCACATACGATCCTTATAACGAATGGCTTCCTATTCTTTGATTGCAGATGATAACAAAGGAGTGTATTCGAGCTAACACCATTAAAAACTAGTTCGCTCGATCGCCACTTAAAGATGACTGTATTCGAATTTCGTTTTGTGCAACTTATTTTATTACTGCAAATATGCATCCGGAAGATAGATATATATTTGTTTTTGTATGTCCATCTTATTTTCGTCTCGAACCGTTTTATGTTACATGTAGGTAAATCTCGCTCTATATTTATTGTGATATATACTTAAGGAGAAACGTTGTGATATATACCTAAGGAGAAACGACGCTCAGCGTTTTTGCAACGCTTTCTTCTTTCTATTGAGTAAAGCATTCTCCAGTGTCACGAGGCGTGTCAACATCCCCTTACTAAGCAACGCATCATGCTTTCCTTCCATACCACCCTGTTCAGTGTCGGCTTGAACTGCGCCATCTTTGTCAATCCTCTTAGATCGCCTTTCCTTCAATTTCAAGGACAGTTCATTCTTCAAGCTGCCAATGAGGTCGAGTTTCTTTCGGGCATCCTCAGACAGAACGATTTTACGACGTCGATATGTTCCAGGTCCGGTCGCTCCCGTCTCGGCATCACTTTCGACATCGTTGCCTCTGGTATCCTGGTCATTCACGCCGTCGACTACATCATTAGACTCGTTTTCTTCAGGTTTGCGAGTCTTGCGCGCGGCTGTTATAGCTTCCTCCAGATCATTGACGATCGAGTCGCTCATAATTTTCTTGGCAGTTTGGAAAAGCTTCTTGTTCGAGAGCTCTTTTGGAAGATTTTGGTCACGATCAGCGAGAGGACTTGGTTCTTCGGTTGTTGAGCTTGTCACATTGTCAACCTCCTCTTGTTCTGTGAGATATTCTGCAATAGATTAAAAAATATGATACGTTATCAAAGGATGGTCCTATTTTTTTAGACAGGGGTCTGGCAAATATTTGAACATTTTGAAAAGTTCACAATCCATGAGTGGCGTTACGTATATCTAATAATAGCGTGTGTGTGTGGATAGGGGAGGGGTGGGTGATATCCCTCTATGTGCCCCCCCCCCTCAATTGTGAGTAAAGACAAAGGAATGTACTAGTGCTTAATCAGGGGCGGATCTAGCTTTTTGCTAAGGGGGGGGGGGTTGACCAAAATAATGACGATGCGGAGCATCGTCCACGAGCCGCAAAGCGGCGAGCCGATTTTTTTTGGGGGTGTTTATTAAACCCCGTAAGTGATGTTTTCCTGGCATCTATTAACGCAATGGAGACCATAAAAAGCAGTGCATGATAACGTCTTTTTAAATCAAGTAACAGTTTAATACACAGTTATATCCAGAGTTATCATGTGTTTGGTTAAGTTACCAGATGAGTTGAATATCTTCTCACAATATTTGCACTTGAAAGGGTTTTTCTCCAGCGTGCGTTCTTTTTTCTTTCTTTTTTTCTCTCCTTTTTTCTTTTTTTTTCCTTTTTTTTTTTTTTTTTTTTTTTTTTTTGGGCCGCCCAAGGGGGGGGGGGTTTAAACCCCCTAAACCCCCCCGTAGATCCGCGCCTGTTAATGGTGAATTATCGATGTTTTATCATAACTTAATCACAATTATAATTAATAAATGACACATATTTGTAAAGCTTAATTCCTCCTTTTTCATTTGATGCAACTCACATGATGCATATTAGTAATTAAAAGCAATTTAAAGGGAGGAAACCAAAAAGTAATTTGGCGGGCGGTATCTGAATTTCGAAGAAAAATTCACATTTCTAGAAAGTTCATTTTCTGCTCTTACATATGACACCTCAAATCAGGAATAACAACGTTCTGTATGTTTAAAGTGATGCTTGCATTTCAATAATTTGATTAAGCGAATTCGTTTTCACTGGCTGCCTGCCGTAGCAACAAACGGAATTGAAAAAAGGACTTAAGTTCGTTTCGTTGACGATCAGACATAGACGAAATACTTCATGCATGGCTGATTGTCAATGAAACGGAGTTAAGTCTTTTGTCAATTATGCTTGTTGCTACGGCAGGCAGGCAGTGAAAACGAACTTTTAAAATCAAATTATGGAAATGCAAGCATCACTTTACAGAACTTTGTTATTCCTTGCTCATTTTTCCTGATTGAGGGGCAGAAACTGATCTTTGTAGAAATGTGAATTTTTCAACCAAATCCAGGTACCGCCCGCTTAATGAACCCAATGAGGATCAACTTCACTGGGTTACGTAATACAATGTAAACGTGTGCCTGGGGGGGGGGGGGCGTTTCACGAAACAATTAGTCACCGACTAATGTCATTCTCACCGACTATTTTCCAGGCCTCTGATTGGTCAAATTTAGTCAGCATTGACAGTTGTCGGCGGACAAATGTTGATGAAACTTCCCCCTGTAAGTGTGGGGGTCTGTGCGCTATTCATAAGGACAGCTATTTATAAAAGACCGCTATTCATTTAGTCTCGCGTTATGGATAGCGGTCCCTATGAATACTGGTGCTTATGAACGGCGGTCCTTATGAATACCGAGGTAAATTGTCTCTGGTTTGCTCGCTACTCATAAAGGAACGCTATTCATTTTGTCCCGCATTATGGATACCGGGTCTTTTGAATAATATTCCTTATGAATAGCGGTCTTTAGGGATAGCGAGCTTGACCTGTTGGCCCGAATTCACAAAGGAGGTTTGTCGACAAACCTCCTTTTGTTTCGACAAACCTCCTTTTGTTATTTACAAACCAGGTTTGTAAAAAACGCGTCAAAACGCGTCATATGACGTATATAAACCTCGGTTTGTCGACAAACCTCCTTTGTGAATTCGGGCCTTTGTGTGTAAGTTGTCAGCAATGATCCATATCGAATATACGTACCTGCACGGTGCAATGTTTGCTCAATGTTATACAGCGTGTCAGCTACATCCTCTGTATTGTAAGTCGTATCATCATTGTTACCTTCAAACAAAATAAAATGAGATTAAGCCTTTTACTTTTCAAAAATATTTTTGTTTTATTTTTTTTATTAAAGTACAAGGATTTTAACTATTGCAGACACAAGTAAAATTTAATTTCCTTATCTTCTCACTTGAGGATGAAAGAAATAATAACAGACATCAGGTCTCTGCCCTTCTTTTGATAATATATTTAATTTCATTTTAAATCAATGTCAAAAATTATCAATACCAAACCAGACTTAAAGGTGATAGAAAAACACGCTCTTTATATACCTTCAAGTTTTTACTATTATATTTTCGAATGTCTTTGATATGTTGAAAGAATTGTGTTTATAAAAATGACATTTTATTTTTACTGTTGTAAAAATGTATTTCATCGATTTTTATGCACTTCTTTAACAAAGCTATGTAGATCCCGATTTCAGTTTTCCCAATTATGGATTACCTGGGGAAAGGGGAAATGTAACATGTGTAGGCCTGTTAAAATAATTTCGTGCAATTTAGCTGTGCATACATACCATTTTCAAGAATACCATTAAGATCCTCCAAGTCGTTATTCAGTTCAGTCAACACATACGAGAGACCATCATTGGTTCCTGAAAGATGGAAATGGAAATACAAAGTACCTAAGATTGAAGCTTAATGCGAAATGAATTCGATAAACTCTTCCACAATTATTGTTATTTGTTGGCATTGTATTTTAGATGATAACGTTTAATGAAATGATTAATGAAATGATTAATTAGATGATTATTTGAAGTTGTAGAAGCTCTCTCTTCTCCTTTGTAATCGCGTCTATTTGTATGTTCGTTTGTCTCTTTTTCTCTCTCTCTCGAGATCACTCACTCTCTTTCTATCTATCTCATTTACAACCCGTCTCTCTCTCTCTCTCTATCTCTCTTTTTTTTCATTCAATCTCTGTCTCTATCTACTTACCCCCTCCCCCTTCTTTCTTACTCTTTCTTACTCCATTTCTTTTTCTCTCTTTCCCCCTTTCTCTCTCTCTCTCTCTCTCTCTCTCTCTCTATCTATCTTTTTTTTCATTCACTCTCTGTCTCTATCTACTTACCCCCTTCCCCCTTCTTTCTTACTCCATTTCTTTTTCTCTCATTCCCCCTTGCGCGCTCTCTCTCTCTCTCTCTCTCTCAGAATGTACAGAGATGCAGTTTTAATAACGAGTTTCCCATCCATACCTTGTTGTGCTGGACATAATGCTTCATCTTCTCCTCCCAGACAGTCATTATAATCATCACACACAGCATGTACAGAGATGCAGTTTCCTTCATAACATTGGAACTGGTAGTGGGGATCACAATCTCCTGCAAAACAAATTCAGGGTTTATAAAAGAGCAGCGTAAATGCTAGACAAAATGGCAGATGTCCGTATTCTTCAAAGCAGTTCAAGTTTAACCTGGAAAAGTTTCATCCAGTTGAAAATGTCGACCCACCCTTTTCCATGTATTTCCCACTTAAACTTTAATTTGACAATACCAACAGATCATAATACGGAGTAGCACTGCATGTCTCTCCCCTTTGCAAACTTTGCCTGCCAACCCCAGACAACTCTTTAAAGCCATTTCGTGTTTCATTGAGTAACGTGTTTATAGTTTATATCGTTAGTTTAAACTGTATTGTCAGCAAATCGCAAAGGTTTACACTGGGGAGGAAGGAGGGATGGGGGGGGGGGGGGCTTTGGAACAGATACCCGCCCCTATCAGAATGGCTTGGTGCCAGTGATAGGGGCGGTCCATCTGTGCCACCCAAAGGTCTCTTGTCTCTTACCTAGGTTTTGGAAGTCATTACAGTTTAAGGGTATTTCGTCAGATCCTGTGGGGCAGTCATTCTTGCCGTCACACATACCCTGAATTGGAACACAGGTACCAGACTCGCACTGAAAACAAGAGGACAAATGTTTAAGTCCAATGAAACAATCAAAGACAGTGAACACGCCCAGCAAAATAAAACTTCAAACAAGAGAAGCCAAGATAATCAAAGAGTTGGCAATAACCAATGTACATCTTGATAAATTTACGGGTGTGTTTGGTCTATTTTTTCATATTTTTTTATATTCACTTTATCTAATTTCATTTCTTGCACATGATCTTTGTATGACTTACCTCATACTCATACGCGTTACACGCACTCGGGCAGCTGTTCTCATCCTCACCATCTTCACAGTCCCGATAACGACCGTCACACACGTAATCCTGCAGTCAAACAGAAATACAGTTTGTAAACGGGTCAGAAACCGTCTTACTTTGTCCCGTATCATAGCGATGACGTAGAGGATTTTAGTGTTTCAGCCTACATCTTATTATTTTATTCATTTCATAGCCCTGCTAGATCATGCTGACCTAAATGAAAGCGTTTTGCTGATGTCAATTAATATGCACCAGTCCATAAAATTACTTAACGTCTGGGACACAAAATTTCCAAAAACATTTGACTTGTCCAAACGCGGGATCCATTGAGGGTGAGGGGGGGGGGGGTATATCATATAGGGCCATCCGGCATAGCCTCCTGTCGATGGCCCTCGCGCTGTTGGAGTCCGTAAATTCTGGCTCGCTGGTCAGAATATACGGACTCCCAACAACGCGAGGGCCATCGACAAGAGGCTACATCCGGCTTGACGTTGAAATGTTGCTCCGTGTTCACAAAACAAATGATCCTTGCTATCTTGAAAAAAGGTGTTTCATTTTTTAATACAAACTGTAGAAAACAAAATTTGGACAGATCACTGCAAATGTACCTTTGGAATGCAAGACCCGTCGTTACACCTGAACTCTGATTTTCCGCAGTCGACAACGTTGTTACCTCCGCAGTTCTCCTCATCCTCTCCGTTCATGCAGTCCGTGTATTGTCCGTCGCATCGCCATGTGGAGGATATGCAGACTCCATTGGCGCACTAGGTTTTGATCAGAACGAATGGAAAAAAGGAGAGTTTATTTTGTTATTCTTGATGAAAAGGAAGAGTTTATTGACGAAACCCATAGTTGAGATATGGATGGAAAAAACTTTGACCTATCGTATTGAATTGTGCAAGCATTTGTCATCATTATCTGTCAAGTTATATTCAAATAATAAAATAATTGATTTTGTTTTCTTCAAAGAAAAGTACTATTGTTTAGTATTTCTAGACTTCGTTGCCCCCCCCCCCCCCAGACACACACACACTTAAAGTTGAACAAACGCACTTCAAAACAACTATCATGACCAAAGCAAACAAGTGTTTGGTGACAATTTTCACTTATGGCTCATTTTTGTTGGTAATATTTTTGGTGACATTATGTGGGTCTGATATAACATAAATAGAAGAATAAAATAAATAAGAAGTTTAAGCTGGGCAATAGTGCTTTTACTATTCGGATATAGACAAAGGGAACGATATTATGAAAATCATAAGCGATTTTTAAACCAAACCCATTCTAAGATCAGTTAGTGAATTGGCAACTTGATTATCAATGTGGAAGATGCAGGATTCTTATAAAAAGTTCTACATTTACCTGAAACTGGTCCCGGTCGCATACACTATGTGGTCCGCAGTCTGTCTCATCCTCACCGAGAGAACAGTCTTCGTACAACCCGTCGCATCGGTAACTGGCAGGAAGGCATGAACCATCGATGCATTGGAACTCGTTGCTGTTGCATCCACTGATCGGGCAGGCCTCCTCATCCTCACCGTGATAACAGTCTTGATGACCATCACAGCGGGCATCAAGAGGAAAACATTCTCCGTTGCTGCATTTAAATTGTCCTGTACAATCTTCAATGATGGGACAACCATCCTCATCGTCCTTGCCATAGCAATCGGAGATGCCATTACATTGAGCCGTTAGAGGAATGCATTCTCCTGAATTGCATCTAAACTGACCCGCACAGTCTTCTACCACCGGACAGCCATATTCATCTTGGTTGCCCACGCAATCTCGAATACCATCACAAACAGCAATTCTTGAGATGCATTTTCCTGGAGAACAGGTGAACTCACCCGGACACTGGTCTCCGAGAATAGGACAATTAAATTCATCCTCTCCTTTCAAGCAGTCTTGGGTGTTATCGCAGATTCTGGTAGCTCCAATGCAGCTACCGTCATCACATTCAAATTCACACCGATTGCAATCGACTTCATCTTCGCCTTCAAAACAATCCAACCTGCCGTTGCAGACATAACTCCTTGGGATACAGTTCCCTCGGTCACATGCAAATTCACAAACAGTGTTGCAGTCATTTTCATCTTCTCCATTGTAACAATCTCGATTCCCATCACAGACTTTGCTTTGCGATATGCAGGGGCCATCATCACACACGAATCCATCAGAACACAGACTTCTCATCTGGCATCCACCTGATTCGTCTTCTCCCTGAACACAATCACGTACTGCTCTGCATCTACCTCCGAAAGGGATACATTGTCCGTCGCTACATTTATATTGTCCTGGACAATCTCCAATGATAGGGCAACCAACCTCATCATCCCTGCCATAGCAGTCAGAGATGCCATTACACCTAGCCGTTAGAGGAATGCATTCTCCTGAATTGCATCTAAACTGACCCGAACAGTCGGCCACTACCGGACAGCCATCTTCATCTTCGTTGCCAAAGCAATCTCGAACACCATCACAAACAGCAGTTCTTGGGATGCAGTACCCAGGAGGACAGGTAAACTCACCAGGACACTGGTCTCCTCTAATGGGACAATTCAATTCATCTTCGCCATCGAAACACTCTTCCCTGCCGTTGCAGATATAACTCCTTGGAATACAGTTCCCTCTGCCGCATTCAAATTCATTTCCACATCCTGCTGGGCAACTTTCCTCGTCTTCCCCGGAAGAGCAGTCAGGTATGCCATCACAAACATTATCACCACCAATACAATGGCCATTATAGCAGGTAAACTCAGTACTGTCACATCTTTCGTTGATAGGACAGGAACTCTCGTCCAGGCCATTTGAACAGTCTCGACGACCATCACAGATGTACCGTAATTCAATACAGAATCCTGTCTGACAATTGAATTTACCAGGGCAGATATCTTCTGATTCACAGTTCTGCTCATCTGTACGATCTGGACAGTCTTTGTAGGTGTCACAAACTTTGCTAGACTCTATACAGGTTCCATCGCCACATCTAAAGCCATTGCAAGGGTTTGTTAATGGGCAACTTGATTCATCTTTACCATCATAGCAATCACGAACTCCATTACAGACAGCTGAATTAGGTATACAGTTTCCAACGTCACACAAAAATCCATCAGAACACGGACTACTAATCTGGCATCCACCTGCTTCATCTTCTCCTTGATAACAATCACGTATTCCGTCGCATCTAGCTCTTAGAGGGATACACTGTCCGTCACTACATTTATATTGTCCTGGACAATCTCCAATGATAGGACAACCAACCTCATCATCCCTGCCATAGCAGTCAGAGATGCCATTACATCTAGCCGTTAGAGGAATGCATTCTCCTGAATTGCATCTAAACTGACCCGAACAGTCGGCAACTACCGGACAGCCATCTTCATCTTCGTTGCCAAAGCAATCTCGAACACCATCACAAACAGCAGTTCTTGGGATGCAGTAACCAGGAGGACAGGTAAACTCACCCGGACACTGGTCTCCTATAATAGGACAATTCAATTCATCCTCTCCTCGTGAGCAATCTTGGGTGCTATCGCAGATCTTGGTAGCTTCAATGCAGCTTCCGTCATCGCATTCAAATTCACAACGATTGCAACCAACTTCATCTTCGCCATCGAAACACTCTTCCCTGCCGTTGCAGACATAACTCCTTGGGATACAGTTCCCTCTGTTGCATTCAAATTCATGTCCACATTCTGGTCGGCAGCCTTCCTCGTCTTCCCCGGCAGAACAGTCGGGTATGCCATCACAAACATTATCACCACCAATACAATGATCATTATAGCAGGTAAATTCGGTACTGTCACATCCTTCATTGATAGGACAGGAACTCTCGTCCAGGCCATTTGAACAGTCCTGACGTCCATCACAGATGTACCGTAATTCAATACAGAATCCTGTCTGACAATTGAATTTACCAGGGCAGATTTCTTCTGATTCACAGTTCTGCTCATCTGTACGATCTGGACAGTCTTTGTAGGTGTCACAAACTCTACTAGACTCTATACAGGTTCCATCGTCACATCTAAAGCCATTGCAAGGGTTTGTTAAGGGGCAACTTGATTCATCTTCACCATCATAGCAATCTCGAACTCCATTACAGACAGCTGAGTTAGGTATACAGTTTTCAGTGCCGCACTGAAATTCACAAACTGTGTTGCAGTTATTTTCATCTTCTCCTTGATAACAATCACGTATTCCATTGCATTTAGCTCTTAAAGGGATACACTGTCTATCGCTACATTTAAATTGTCCTGGACAATCTCCAATGACGGGACAACCATCCTCATCATCCCTGCCATAGCAATCGGAGATGCCATTACATCTAGCCGTTAGAGGAATGCATTCTCCTGAATTGCATCTAAACTGACCCGAACAGTCGGCCACTACCGGACAGCCATCTTCATCTTCGTTGCCTGAGCAATCTCGAACACCATCACAAACGGCAATTCTTGAGATGCAGTACCCAGGAGAACAAGTAAATTCACCCGGACACTGGTCTTCTACAATGGGACAATTCAATTCATCCTCTCCTCGTGAGCAATCTTGGGTGCTATCGCAGATCTTGGTAGCTTCAATGCAGCTTCCGTCATCGCATTCAAATTCACAACGATTGCAACCAACTTCATCTTCGCCATCGGAACAATCCAACCTGCCGTTGCAAACATAACCTCTTGGGATACAGTTCCCTCTGCCGCATTCAAATTCATTTCCACATCCTGCTGGGCATTTTTCCTCGTCTTCCCCGGCAGAGCAGTCAGGTATGCCATCACAAACATTATTACTACCAATACAATGATCATTATAGCAGGTAAATTCGGTACTGTCACATCCTTCGTTGATAGGACAGGAACTCTCGTCCAGGCCATTTGAACAGTCCTGACGTCCATCACAGATGTACCGTATTTCAATACAGAAACCTGTCTGACAATTGAATTTACCAGGGCAGATTTCTTCTGATTCACAGTTCTGCTCATCTGTACGATCTGGACAGTCTTTGTAAGTGTCACAAACTCTACTAGACTCTATACAGGTTCCATCGTCACATCTAAAGCCATTGCAAGGGTTCGTGAAGGGGCAACTTGATTCATCTTCACCATCATAGCAATCTCGAACTCCATTACAGACAGCTGAATTAGGTATACAGTTTCCAGCATCACACACAAATCCATCAGAACACGGACTACTAATCTGGCATCCACCTGCTTCGTCTTCTCCTTGATAACAATCACGTATTCCATTGCATCTAGCTCTTAGAGGGATACACTGTCCGTCGCTACATTTATATTGTCCTGGACAATCTTCAATGATGGGACAACCATCCTCATCATCCCTGCCATAGCAATCGGAGATGCCATTACATCTAGCCGTTAGAGGAATGCATTCTCCTGAATTGCATCTGAACTGACCCGCACAGTTGTCCACTATCGGACAGCCATCTTCATCTTCGTTGCCAAAGCAATCTCGAACACCATCACAAACAGCGATTCTTGGTATGCAGTATCCAGGAGGACATGTGAATTCACCCGGACACTGGTCTCCTATAATAGGACAATTCAATTCATCCTCTCCTCGTGAGCAGTCTTGGGTGTTATCGCAGATTCTGGCAGCTTCAATGCAGCTACCGTCATCACATTCAAATTCGCAACGATTGCAACCAACTTCATCTTCGCCATCGGAACAATCCAACCTGCCGTTGCAGACATAACCTCTTGGGATACAGTTCCCTCTGCCGCATTCAAATTCATTTCCACATCCTGCTGGGCATTTTTCCTCGTCTTCCCCGGCAGAGCAGTCAGGTATTCCATCACAAACATTATCACCACCAATACAATGACCATTATAGCAGGTAAACTCGGTACTATCACATCCTTCGTTGATAGGACAGGAACTCTCGTCCAGGCCATTTGAACAGTCCTGACGTCCATCACAGATGTACCGTAATTCAATACAGAACCCTGTCTGACAATTGAATTTACCAGGGCAGATTTCATCTGATTCACAGTTCTGCTCATCTGTACGATCTGGACAGTCTTTGTAAGTGTCACAAACTCTACTAGACTCTATACAGGTTCCATCGTCACATCTAAAGCCATTGCAAGGGTTCGTTAAGGGGCAACTTGATTCATCTTCACCATCATAGCAATCTCGAACTCCATTACAGACAGCTGAGTTAGGAATACAGTTTCCATTGCCGCACTGAAATTCACAAACAGTGTTGCAGTTATTTTCATCTTCTCCACTGTAACAATCACGATTCCCATCACAAACTTTGTTTTGCGATATGCAGGAGTTATCAGAACACACGAATCCATCAGAACACGGAGTACCGTCACAGGCGTAAGTTTCCTCGTCTGAATTATCACCACAATCGTTATAACGGTTACAAACGCGATTGGAGTCGATGCAATTACCATTTCCGCAACGAAATCCTGTCGAACATCTGTCATCTGGACAACCAACTTCGTCATCTCCTCCAGAACAGTCTCTCCGACCATTGCAAACAGCAGAATCAGGAATACACAAACCATCTCTACATTTGAATCCCCTGCACTCTTCTGGACACCTTACTTCATCCTCGCCTCTCAAACAATCCGGTCGACCGTTGCATACACTGGCCGTATCAATGCATATCCCATCGTTGCATCTAAACCCAGAACACTGCTCCGGGCAGTTGATTTCATCGTCACCTCGTGAGCAATCTGGTCGCCCATTGCAGACATCTCTAGTGTCTATACACGAACCATCGGAGCATGTGAACCCGGAACATTCCTCTGGGCAATTAATTTCGTCTTCTGCTGCGCGGCAATCAGCATTGCCATCGCAAAGGCTTGATATTGGTATACATGTGCCATCAGCGCATTCAAAGGCAGTGCACCCTGGCAGACAATTTTCCTCATCTTCTCCCTCGGAGCAGTCTCGCGCTCCGTTGCACACCGAGCTGATATCGGTACATTCCCCGTTGTTGCACTCGAAACCATCGATACAATCAGGTGCTGTGAAGCAAGACACTTCCGTTTCATCTCTGCCATCAATACAGTCGAAACTACCATCGCAGATTCTTGTAGATTCAAGGCAGTAGTCAGTGCGGCATAAGAACAATCCCCGACAGCTAGGTGACTCTGGGCATCCTGCTTCGTCAACAGCCCCGTAGCAATCAACCCATCCATCGCAGAAGGCCTCGCCTGGGACACACTGTCCTGTACTGCACATTTTAAGATCAGCGTCTACATCACATTGTGGAAGTTCCCTGCAGGATACCTCGTCTTCACCATCAGCGCAGTCAACTTGACCGTCACAGATCAAGGACGCCGGGACACACGTCCCATCCATGCACTGGAAATCACCGCCACATTGCGTCATCACGCAGTCCTCCTCATCTTCACCCTCGCTACAATCAATGAACCGATCACATAGCCGACTCCTAGAGATACACTTGCCTTCGTCACACCGGAAGTCACCCCCACAGTCATGTGGCACAACCAAAGGGCAGTTACGCTCGTCTTCCCCTCTTAAGCAGTCATTCCTTCCGTCACATACTTTCGCTTCTGCGAGGCATCCTACTCTACTGCCGACGTTGCAACGTATCTCATTTTGGCGACACGTTGGTTGCGTTGGTTGTGTTGGACGCGTTGGATGCGTTGGTTGCGTTGGTTGCGTTGGTTGGCTGATGCATCCACGTTCATCCTCTCCTCCAAAACAATCTACTCTCCCGTTACACACAAAGCCATAAGATAGACACCGGCCATCGGATGAACACTCGAATTTACCCGGACATGCTGCTACGACTGCACAGTTCTCTTCGTCTTCTCCTGTAGCAGTAGTATAGGGGAAGAGAGTCGAGGGAAGAAAAAAAAAAAAAAACGATAACCAATAGATATAACTATGATAACTTTGTTTAACACACTAGTTGAAATGTACTACTTTATACGTATTATATTAATTTAATACAGATATGATTTTGGCCTGCAAATACATGTATTAGCATGCAATATAATGCTAAAGGAATCAACGAATACAACAAATCAGCTGTGAAGTATCAACAATTCGATATAAATTGTAATCCTTCAAATACTTGCTATTATCAGGTCTTAATAGCTTAACCCAAAACCGTATTATCTTCATAATTAATTTATCTTTCATGAATAATATACAAAGAGAGCTACTTCGTGGTGTAAGCATAATTTACATAAGTCAAAGGAATGTTTGAGTTCTTGTTTAAGACCGCGAGTGCCTTCAAAGTGTATGGTTATTACTCTTATCCTTATTTATGACATTTATAGTGCCCTTTTAGGACCTAAAATTGCTATGAAGGTAGTTTTAGACCACAAAATGTGTGAAATTTAGATTAAATCCGATCATACCAATTCAGCTCCACTTTCCAAAAATAAAAGGTAGCCGTTAATCTAATAATTTAATAATAACTAAACACGGGCCGGTAAACAAATAGCCAACATTTGCATTGGCTGGAAAAATACGTATGAGGCGCGATCTCGTTTTTTCAACGGCTTGTTCAATATTATCAAATATTTTTGGGGCCCCACAACATATTAGAAATGGTAATGTTATAGATATTTCAACCGTGTCTGAATCGATATTATCCTTTTAATTGTATGCTCATTTAAATTTGACACTCAGTTTTTCATTATTTCACAACAAAATATTTTGTGTAGCGCCCTTTATACCCAAACTCAGCTTTCCCTTTTAAGTAAAATGACCTTAACTATGATAACGAACACTCACTTATCATATTTTACAAGTGAAACAACAATACTTAAAGGCTTGTCGATATTCAGAATAGATATGAAAAGATCTGTTCCCTAATATCTCACCATATCGGCAGTCTTGTTCAGAATCACAAAGAGCTGATCGAGGCAAGCATAGTCCTTCTGCACACTCAAACTGATCATTTCCTGTATAAAAAAAAAAGTTGTTGAGCCAAATAAAATATTTTCCCGGTACCCGGAATCTTTCGGGATTCTCACTTATGGTGGTGGTTATTTTATTTTTAGAAAGCATAAATGCTTGTAATAAGTAAGCAACCAGACGGCCGACGGCTTTAGGTCCTCCCCGAGGGACCAAAATCCGTCGATAATAGAACGATAACAAAACGATAACGATGACGATATAGATGATGATGATGATGATGATGATAAACATGATCATAATAATGATTACAATAATACCTCTACTTCTAACAATAATAATGACAACAATAGCAATGATGGAAAAGGAGACATTATTCCCTTAATGTCTTCAGGAAGCTAATTATTTCTCCTTGGTTTAGTATTAAATGTAATAATGCATGATTCATGGATGGATACATAATGAAAATGGAGTAAGTTATTTTACATCGAAGGGCATAACTGTCAGAGGTAACTGCGCATAAAGGGCTTTGCTATCCTAGGGGGGGGGGGTTTATTGGTGAGAGAATTGTTGTACATGTAGGGGTCGTCTTCATTGATGGTATTACAAGGGGGTGTCCGGGAATCATTTTCCGGATATTGTTTTCCGCTCGAGGGTAATTGTCAAAAAATATTGTCAGGGTATCAAGTGTCAAGATGTAAATGTTCAGGGTGGTAGTTCGAGGGTGGGTGCGTAGGTGGGTAGGTGTGTAGTACGGGGTAGTAGCCGGGAGTAGTAGTCCTGGGTGGTAGTTCGAGGGTAGTTGTCGGCGGGTAGTTTGCCTTGTTTTTCTCTGTCTTTCTGTTGTAATTTATATTTAATTATTTATATAGTTATGGAACAAACCTTTGATAGGCCTTTCGACTTTGTTTGTCCCCCCACATTTTGATACTTCTGTTCTGTTGAGTTATTTGTTGAAATTGACTTTGTATTGTTAATGTTTGTTATTGTGATATCAAATGCGCGAAATAAAATAAATTGAATTGAATTGGGTAGTTCTCTGGAGGTAGTATTACGGATACAAGTTTGATGGGTACCCGGTAGGATGCGACCGTCATTGTTGGTCAAACAGTTTTTGAGCGTCAAGTAACACCTGGCTGGAATGCTCCCCAGGGAGTGGAGATTGTGCGGGCAAACACTAAATCCAATGACCGGGGTAATAGTATATTTGTAAAGCGCTTAGAGACATTATATTACGCGCTATATAAAAGCTAAGTATTATTATATTATCATTTGATCAAAGGAACTTACGGCATGAGAAGCAGTCTTGTTCATCTTCTCCATACGAGCAATCGTAAGTCCCGTCGCAGATCGTCTCGAGTTGGATACACCGCCCGTCATCACACTGGTACCTGCCTGAGCACGGCTCAGTGATTGGTATTCCACCACAGTCTAGCTCGTCCTCTCCAAAGTAGCAATCGTGGACTCCATCACAGACATATTGCTGGTAGGATATATTAAAAGATGAGAATATAAAATAGTGTGCAACTTAAATTAAGATTAACTATCTGTAAGTCAATATTTATCCAATTAATCCAAAAGGAAACTTAAACATTTTTGTGTAATCATGTAAAGCGCCAATGTATCAACCGAGTTTCCTGATGGGAATATTTATTTTTTCAACAACAAAAAGTGTTCATGGGGCAGGCCACAAGTACAAATGTAAAGAATTGGATCTTTGTAATTTGCTTTGTAGATCCAATTTAAACATGTAACATTAATTTGCTACTGTAATGTATAGAATGGGCTAAGCTCTGAAATATTCTAGCAAAATAGCAATATAGAGTGTTTAAAACAAAATTTGCGAATGCAAAGTTTAATTTCTTCAACATAATTTATTTTGATATAATATGCAATATATAGGTGTACAACCTAGCCAAGTTGATTTTTCAAAGGAGGGGGAGGGGTAAAGGGTGGACGCGTTGATGTATAACCCATATAATTCTATAATTTATTGTTGTAAAACTCGATTTAAACAAAAGTAGAATCATATCATCATATTATCAGATCATAATGACGTATATGATGTCTCACATTGTCTACGCAGGCATCGTTGTTGCACTTGAATTGACCAGGCGGACATGTCTGAGTAAGGCAAGCCTGTTCGTCTTCTCCTTCTAGGCAATCAACATGACCATCGCAGAGCCAGTCTTGAGTTACGCAGGATCCTGGGATACAACACCATGATACATGCAGATATATGGAGAGAGAGAGAGAGAGAGAGAGAGAGTGAGAGAGAGTGAGAGAGAGAGAGAGAGATTGAAAGAGTGTGAGAGAGAGAGAGAGAGAGAGTGAGAGAGAGAGAGGGAGTGAGAGGGAGAGAGAGGGCGGATCGACGAAGAAGAAAAAAGGAGGTAGGAAAACAAAACCATTAGATACCTGAATATATACATACAGACAAAGAGTTGAATGGCAGCCAGGTCCAAAATACAGCTGCAGCCCGCAATTTAGGACTCTTAAGATTACCTACATGACAAAAGTAATTTTATACTATACGGTATATTCTAAAGTTTGCTCGTTCGATTTGATAGCTCTGCGTTTTCTTAATGAAAAGTTGATACTTAGGCAAAAGAGGTCCAACTCTCCCCAAACAAAACTATGCCAGTACACATTTACATTTTGCCTACCAAGTATTATGGCAGGAATTAATTCCTTGAAATGCAAGAGCGCTATATAAATGGCAGCTATACATGTAGGCTAAAAGCTAAATGCTAAATGCGCCTCGAAATAGAATTTCTAGATAGATGGCGCTATAAAAAAAGCCTATTATTATTATTATTATTATTATGGATGAAATCATGATTGGTGTTACCTGTACTGCATTTGAATTCATCCTTGTCGCATTGTGTTCTGGAGCATCCAATCTCATCTTCCCCGTTGGAGCAGTCATCGATCTGATCACATAGCCAGTAGTCCGGGATGCATTCGCCGCTCTGGCACCGTGTCTGGTCAGGAGGGCATGTGCTTATCGAGCAACTTTGTTCGTCCTTTGAAAAGATAATGTTAAACATTGTACAGTAGGAGCCACATAATTATGAAAGATTCACAAAAAAAGAGAAAATTCGTAAAATTGGAGGGCCTGAGTAACCGAATTGGTATATGTGTACGTAGCCATTGTTTAGAAAATGCCACCGCCAATCGTGAATGTGTGACGTATGAATCGAGTGAAAGGACTTTTCGAGTCCTTTCCCGGAGGCATTTTAAGTTTACACCCAAGAAACGATTGGCAGTACACTATCTTCTTTGCGATTAGTACACACATGCATACACAATTCCAAATGCAGTTACCCGCTGACACGTCACAACTCGGCAGGGGTACAGGCTTAGGCTGTGAAAATGGCGACTCCCTATGTGGTACACGACCAGTCGACGCTTGTCATATAGTTAATAAAACTACCTCTGAAGGCTCGAATGAGAGAGTTTTTTTTATCAAACATGTTTTTATATTACTCTGTACAGGATTATGAGACTTTAAATGGCTGAGTTTTATTTTCCTCTTTCATGTAAAAAATCACATATTTGTACATTTATTTCAGCTTCATTTCACAGAAAACACATTTTAATTTCTAATCTTTTCATTTCAGGACAAGAGGAATGTGTATTACTACGTTACCCTTTGAATACCAATAAAGACAACCTGTTATTTACTTTTATTACCTGACTCCCTTCTATATATTTAAAGTTGAATATATATACTCTCATAATATCAGAGACTGAAACCATTTCTTACCTCTCCGCCTGGGCAATCATACAGCCGTCCATCACAAACCTGATGAGATGGGATACATTTACCACTCTCACATTGGAAGGACGCCGTCGGACATCGGTAAGGGTAGGATGGCGCCTGGAGAAAATATGAAATAGATTCAAACTGAAAACAGGGTCGACTAGGAATGCAGGGGTGCGCCTAACTCTTTTGGTATTTTGTTTAGTGCTGACACAAAAAGGGAAGGAAAAAGAACAATTTATAGTCCTACATACTCACTCCACTTTCATTGTTCAAAGTGAAAAGTATTGTAAATGATAATGTTATGCTTTCAATAACGTTAACACTGTAAGACTATACAAACTTTCAATTTTATATCATTTAATTTCGATAATAACTTAATTTCATCAAAATGCGCCCAATTATCTGACTCGTAAAAGCTGTAACAAATTGGTCGTTTAATTTAAGTCTTGATACAAAATTATAAGAAGAATAACTCGCAAAACTTCGTTGTTTTCAAAAGAATAGTAAACTTTAGAAAATAACCTTACCAGTTGCCTCTCCTTTAGATGTAGCTTTGTAAAGTTTGTCGATCGAACTGAAATGTGAAAAGGGAAATCATTAGATCAAATATATAATTATCCTTTACAAACAAGCTTAGAAATCAACAAAATATAGCATTACCGAGAAAGTGGGCCGGGATATTGTTTTGATAAATATGGTTACATAAATAATGCAATAAAAAAAAAATGGTATTTCTATATTATAGAACTAGCCATTGCCAATAATATGTTTCAAATTGCAGTAAAACATGAAACTAAAAATAAAGTTGAGATCGTGAACAATAAATATATATTCTTTCAGATGCGAAGAAGTGTAGCAATTTCGATGATTTTTATGTTGGTATTTACGCCCAGGCGTCCATCTTTGACCCCGTCGGACTTCGCACCCCTACCATCACCTTCCCCCTAATTTTGAGGATTAGTGAATACGTTGGCTGCGTTTCCACTATCTATATACGTACTCTCTATCGATACATTCATGTATTTTTCATCAACACTCATTAATTTTATTCCATTCTTTTTAAATTTGCATAATTTCTTTTTAATTTTTCATAATTTCATATAATCTTATTAGCCAGTTCGTATATACTATCTGCGCATGGGCAGATAAAGGTACATGTAATTTGTTCCCAAATTGTAAAATCTATCGAGACGAATACTGTTATCGTGCTCTTGAAAGTTATGTAAATCTGTATTCGTTTGCAACGACAGTACATTTATCAAATACACAGGTGGAAGTAGGGGGTATTCTTCTCAAGAGGCAAACAAAAAGTACCTCCATTACCTCGGCAGTGATTATTCCAACATAAACGCACAAATAAGACGTATCCATCGTGTTAAATGTCTGTGGATATCTTGGGGTCATGCGTTCCGAAGCTTTTTACGAACTGGCTTATTTCAGTTCATTCCTCTTTTTTTTTAAATTCAGGCTTGCATTAGTTCATTCCCAATAGACTCACCGTTATCTAGATGGCGGAGTACCCGTAATTTGGTCGATCGTTCGTTTTCCAACTACAAAAAGGACCAAACATGAAAGAATATACAGTTTATTTGCCTTTCTACTGTCTTACTTGACACTGGCCGAGACATTAAACATTATATGTCAATTTAAATCAGATGGTAATTATTCCATTTTTCTTTCAAGTTTAAGGGTAAAGTAACAACCAAGTTTTACCATTTGAATATCCTAGATAGGGCATTGTCATAAATAAAATACATTAAAAAAAGAATTGCAGCAGGCTTTGAGAAAAAATACCAAAACACTTTTTCAATTTGTATTCCTTATCATTATGTGTGTTCTTATTCACCCCGATTAAGCCCAATGACACTATGACTAGAATAAACATGTGACTACATTAATGGTACTTGAAAAGACATTTAGAGATGCATACCGAAACACCACGCCTCAAAAATCGTCTTGCCCTCTCCAACTTGCCGTCCTCTGAACCGCTGCAAAGAATGATTAAAATCAGCAAACCAAATATCAATATTTGATTCTTCATGTTGGCCCGAACTTTGGATTTTCTTGCCTATTTAGCAAGTTTTTTTTCGTGTAACTATTCTGGGTGGACTTTCCCCCTTCCGAACAGGCCTGCAATAAGTCGAGTACAGGCGTGGCATATGCATATAGTGAAATGCATTCATTCACAGTAAAGTAAGCCAAGTTCCCAGTTCAAAACTACACGATTATGTATGGCGATGATGAAGCAATGATTTGTACGGAATGTTTAGCATTTGAACGTTCCGTATCAATGACTTCACGCACTGTGCGCATAAAAGAAAACAATGGAATATGCAGATGATGCTATGTCAGTTTGACATCTTTTAATCGGGGAAAGGTCTCGCACACAATAAAGTTAGGAACGCGGGCTGGTCTTGGTGTTGGTTGAACCCTTCTCCTGCCACACCGCCAGACCGACTCTGTATCGACCGACTCCGTGCCATGTGAGGGTAATGTAATCTGTGTGCTCGGTTATTCGTCGGTATAGGGTCTATCAAGTCGGTGTGACCTAGGCGTTTTAAGAGCTGGAGTCCAAACAAATTATTCCAAGCAGCTGCCGTTTTCTAAGGTTGCACAATAGAATTTACAGGTCTTTGATATCTGAGGTTCGATGCCGCCAACGTCGTTGGAAAGCTTGAGTAGTGATTTTATTTTAACGAAGAAATATTGTTAATATTTCACTTTTTATTTAAACTAATGAGGGGCAAATTGAACAGATAATAATAATAATGATACACAACATTTATTAGGCGCTTAATACGGTTGTTTCTAAGGCTAAGCGCACCATTGTCTGTCTACAAAATTCAGCTATCCACCAAAACTTAATGGCCCGAATTCACAAAAGAGGTTTGTCGATAAACCTTGGTTTTCGTGCTTAATATGACGCGTTTCGACGCGTTTTTACAAACCAGGTTTGTAAAAAAAAAAAAAACGCGTCAGAACGCGTCATATGACGTACATAAACCTCGGTTTGTCGACAAACCTCCTTTGTGAATTCGGGCCATAATGAACACATAAATCATGTATCTGTTCTTTTGTCAATAAATCATGCATATAATAATAATACAAATGAGATCGAACAAATGATAAATATGAATACAAAAGCCTCATTGTGTCAAGAAGTTTGCTTACATTTAATTTGTGAAAAACTCTAAAATTGTACAATTCAAAAACCTGCAATTTGACACTTTTTCGATTAATTCTTGCACACTAAATAAAAAGTGAATTTGTTCAAGTATACAGTTTTTTTTTTATGGTTTTGAAATATGTCAGATTAGTGCCCACACATGCCCATTGGAGTAATTTAGATTAATATTTCAGGAAATTTTGCTCAATTTCCTTTCGCTTGCCTCCTAAAAAGGTAATCACTGTGTAGTGTTCAGACGAGTGGTAGCGAAAAGTAATTATCATTACAAAGGCATATTTCCCTTTGAAAGTGGCCGGTTAGCTAGTTTGCAGCTAGGCAAGAATCTTTTGTCTACGTACCTGCTCCAGTTATTAAGCACATGTCTGACATATCTTCTACTAGTGGTATCGAAGATGGTACAAAGGGAATGAGCTTGATATGACTCCAGCTCTTTAAACTTCTTGCTGTGATTGAGATATAATCATTGGGTGTGGTTCGTGAGTAGCGTGGTGTAGACTGTCACGTAGAGTACTCCATGTAAGAGTACTATAAATCCCAATATAGGCATCAGCTGTGCCTATTCCGTTCTAAATATTTTTTTCCTCTGATCTTGGAAGAAAGATGGAGGTCCTTATACAGTTAGTGACCATGTTACTATGTTCATTTTCTCTGGTTCACTGCAAGCCTGTGGAAGTGGAAGAGAACTGGAAAGGGTCACCAAAGAAACAGACGGTAAGCTAACGGACTTGAAAAAGTACTTTCAAAGTTATCATTATTACATTTATATGATGGTATGGCCTGATGTGTTTGTATATGTAAAAACTGTTTTCAAGAGTGAACGAATTAAATTTGTCGATAAACCTGTGTGAACATCCACATTAATTACATTCGGTCTGATTTGATAGTACTTCACCATCAAATATGCCGGGTGAAAAAGGGTCATACCGCGAGGTTGTCTTTATTTTTTCAATGTAACCGCGTAATCAAGTGATTGAAGTAGAGTAATATAATATGTATTATAAAATGTATTTCAATAGTAAGGAAATAACTGAAAACGATTTTATGAATGCTGAAATCAACAATGTTGATAGATAAAGTTGTAGAAAATAGAATGAAATTGATAGGACCGATTGAGATGGAAATCGGTAATAACTAATAGGTTTGTATCACCCATTTTTAATATTTCATCAGATTTTACAAGCTCGGCCGATGGACTTTAGGGATGAGATTTACGTGAGCAAAAGGAATGCATTTGGAAGTAAGTTTCTGTCTCCATTTTTGATGTTTCCCGGACTATTTTAAAACAAGTTGCTTTTGACGCCCGCTATATCATAATACTTTCACATTAAACACCACCCCGAAATTAAATGAAATTAATTAAGACTTATATTACTTAAAGTCCAAGTCCACTCCAAAAATGCTGAATTTGCTTTTAAAAGATGCAGAAAAACGATAGAAACAGAGCAAAACAGATTTGAGTAAAATCTGATGACTAATAAAGAAATTATGATTTTTTGAAAAAGTATGGAACAATGGAAATCACTACATGTATTGCCAATTTGTTTATCCTTTTGTGACGTCATTGCCTCACTATTTTTCAATTGCTTTATATATTTTATCCCATTAATTTCCCGCACCCCCCAAATCTTAATTTTCCCACGCCTTTGCCCAGGTTATATGATATTATTTAGCGTGCATGACATTTCACAACATCTTTTATAAAATTTGAAGAATTTATACTTTTTTCTGAATATTCATAATCTTTGATTTTTATATAAATCATTTATCGAAATTCACATTTTTCATGATTTAACTTACACAAATTACTCTTTATTAGTGCATCCACTCACAAATATATTACTATCAATATAACTAAGATTCTTAGGGGGGAATGGGAAATTTGTATTATCAATGTAAAGAAAACAATAAGTAGATAGTGAGGCAATGACGTCACAGACTCATGAGTGAGTTGCCAATTTACGGTCTTGTAATTTTCAAAGTTTTTCATGTCATTAAAAATTCAAACCTCTCTTATTAGTTATCAGATTTGGTTAAAACTTTTTTTGATTGGTTTGTCCGCTTTATTTGCTTCTATTGAAAGTAAGTTATTTTTGGAGTGGACTTTGTATAGATATTTTGTATCATTAATTTATTTTTGATAGATAATTTGCATTTACAGTTTCCAGAAGTTCATATGATTTGATAAGTCCCTATGTATTAAAGTAAACAAATTAGATAATAAGAATAGCGACAGTTTGAAATAATCGGACTAATATAGAAATAAGAAAGTTTTTTATGAAAGTTTGAAAAATCAGATTACTATAAATTGTATGTTAATCTCAAATTGGCAGTTTGGTGGATTATGACGAAGTCAATCATAACTCTTCTGTTTGTCCTTTACACAAAATATCGTTAGTTCCTGTTTTCCCCTAATTGCATTCTCCCTTGGGGCTCTACTCAAAACATATTATTTACAACATAACAGTATTGGTACTCTAATCAGAATAGACCATCCCGAGTCATCACTGTTGAACATTTGAAAATTCTAGTAATTTTTTTGTGTTGGGAAAATTGGGGAACTGCAACAAATTCATAACTTTCTCTCAATTTTTGTCAAATTTCATCCAAAATTTAGCCCGTGTCCTTTTCTGATTTTTAAGATCTTTCCTCAAGAGTTTTTTGCTATTTCAACATTGGATTTTCTGTTAACATTTTCCCCACTTAACTGTTACAGCATAAATAAATCCCCTACCATCTAGCAACATGACCAAATTGAAATATGTTATGGAAGCTGGGGGTATTTCACAAAGATCCTAAATTGGACTTAACAATGATGGAAAGGCGTTAGCATCTTTGCAAAAGTTACTTTAAAAGGCATAACATGTTGATTCAAATCATTCATATTTTCTATTATCATGGGAAATTTCATGTTCTTGATGTGGAATTTATGAAAAGTCTAAAATAAATATATTTCATTATAAAGCTGCAAATGGCTCTCCATAATATTTAAGTCCAACTAAGAGTAACGTTCGACTTGGAATCTTTGTGAAACACCCCTGGTTTGGATTTTCCCCGTTGGTATTCCATACAAGGTGCAAGTGCATAATTCTATTCAATCTTGTAATCATTCATTCAGATTGCATACCACCTGGCACTGACGTCCCAGGGTTCCGCTGTGCAACCAGTCAGGAGTGCATCCCTTTGAGTCTGGTGTGTGATGGCGTCAATGATTGCGACTACGACGCCTACGATGAGACCGAGGAATCATGTAAGGTAGTCCAATGCGACGGGTTTCTCTGCCGTGATGGGGCGTGTCTTCTGACCGAGTTCGTGTGTGACGGCACCTATGATTGCAGAGACGGGATGGTAAGCATGAATCTCGGCTCCGATATTTCATAAAAGAGCAAGCTCAAGCTATATTGTCCCAAACGTTACCGAACACAACTCAGAATTTAGTAATAAGCCCGTTCGTAAATACTATGCGCATGGGCAGATAAAGGTTATTTGTAACTAAATTGTAAAACCCATCGAGACGAATACTGGTATCGTGCTCATGAAAGTTACGTTATCAGTATTCATTTATGCATAGACAGTACACTTATCTGATACACAGGTCACATGTGGAAGAATTCTTCTCAAGAGGCATTCTAAAATGAACAAGTGGGACGTATCCATCGTGTAAAAGATCTGTGGATATTTTGAGGTCATGCGTTCTGAAGCTATTTACAAACTGGCTTTAATATTGTATTGATAGATCTATTAATGCTTTCCCCGAGACCAAATAAAGTGTAATGACACAATGGATGTAAGTTAGTGCTTACAATTCCATAATACTTTGTAAGGTATGCGACATCTAAAAAACAATATACATGTTATATTGAAGGATGACATAATTTATCACAATCTCATTTTTCACATTAAATAAAAAGGCTCTATATCATTTCTCTTTATACTTTAAAGCCTCTTGTGTCTAGTCTTTTGCACAATTAAAACAGTTTAATGCAAAATGAGTATTGGTATTTCAGTGGAGATAAAGGTAAAGACTAATCGTGGGTATATTAAGCCCCTGATAAAAAAATAAATAGTATAGATTGGACTTTAAAAGTGTTATTTTCCTGCATGGAACCTCTCCCCCCCCCTAAAAACAATATTTTTTCCACCGTAATGTTCATGTCTGAAATAATATTCTGCGGCTAGCCTTCACCCGATCCCCTCTTCACAGAACGCTTTTGAAAGACCGGTGTGATTCTTGAAAATCATTTTCTGTGAGAAAGAAAACAGAAGTTTGTTGGATATTTCATAAAAGGACGAAAACATAATTTTCCTCCTATCATCATTTTCCTCATTGCATCATTCACTATCTATACTAGGATGAGATGGAATGTAACCTGAACCAGTGCAGTGCTGATGATCAGTTTCAGTGCCGAAGCGGACGATGTATACCTCACTTCTGGCGGTGTGACATGCTCGAGGACTGCCAAGCAGGGGAGGACGAGTTAGAATGCGAACACAATCAATGCCAAGGGGACGAGTTCCGCTGTGACACAGGGGCTTGTGTCATCCGCATTTGGGTGTGCGACGGACAGGTAGGTACAGGATGAATTTAAAGGCCATCTGTACTAGTTCGACCAGAAGGGATTAGACCACCCAGCGAGGTCACTGACAGGCGGCTATCTTATCAACTGAGCTCTCAATAAACATATGAAAAAAGGGTCACGGGGGACCAACAGGCACCGACTGGGGAAGTTATCTATATAGAGAAAGCAAATAGATACAAGTAGTACAGTGGGGCTTTAAAAAACATAATCAGAAAAACAAAAAGATTAATGAATTAAAAGATTAAGGATAGTTTGATAGACAGCTAGTTAGTCAGATTAAATGAACCCTTTTTCAAGAATATCGGCTTTTGCAACTTACCGTACACCTCATCTGCGATGAAAATACTGATGTTGTTTTCGTATCTCGAGAGAGAATCGCCGTTTAATCGATGTTTTTATTTTTTCAGAATGATTGCCCGAATGCAGAGGATGAGACGGTTGGTTGTAACTTGGTACCTGCTGTCGTCTGTGATGAAGGGCTCTTCCAGTGTGGAGACCAGTCCTGTATACCTGACTATCTGGTCTGCGATGGCAATACAAATTGTCCTGCAGGTATGGGTATGGCAAATCACAATAATACCTCCTAAAAGTCATAGTCGGGTAAAATCAATAACACTGGAATGTTGACAAAAATAAAAGTGTTATGTATTTGAATTGTATGTGTTTTTTTATACGCTAGATTTTTGAGACCTCGCACATAAGTTTGTCCGACCTAGCACTACCAATCCATTATGTATTTTGTAAACGAGGGGGCATAATTCCTAGGATTTTATGACAAGAGAAAAAAGGAGAATGAAATAAGTACAGGTAATATATTTGTCGGTATTAATGTACTAAAACAATTATGACAGATAACAAAATAAAGTGGTTGCACACTTTCAGTCACCTTTAGTCTAAAATTTGAAAGAGGGGGAGGGGGAGTGGGGTGTGTGGTTGTGTATTCAATGTATGCAAAATGGGTTTTAAAAGAGACATAGATCACTTTTTACCATCCCTCCCTAATAAATATATATGTATATTTTTATTTTGATATACACCACTCGGAAAGTACGGATGCCCTAAGCAGTTCATAGGTCTGATAGAGTCACTACACACGGTTATGATGAATAACTTAAAGGAGGCAGGCGAAACATCCGATAGCTTCCTTGTAAATAACGGTGTAAAACAAGGATGTGTGTTGGTCCCTACGCTTATTTGGAAAGACGTCTATTACGAGCATGATATGATATGGCAATTGTATTGTATTATGTCAAGTAACAGTAAAGACAGTATAGATAAACAACCATCCTATGTTTCGTTAACAGGTGACGACGAGCAACAAGAATGCTGCAACGCTGACGAATTCCGCTGCCAGACCGGGCAGTGTATCCCTGAACAGTATCGTTGCGATGGACTTATCCGGGACTGTCCGGCTGGTGAGGATGAGGACTGCGGATGCGGGGCGAACGAATTCCAGTGTGACACTGGGACATGTATTCCAGATATCCAGCGCTGCAATAATCAGGTGAACCGAAAAATTGAGCCCCTTTTCCTGAAACAATACCTATTTTGTTTCTTCTTCGAATCATTGGGTAGCCAAGGGTCAACTAAGATCGCTCAGAAAGGTGGATATTCTCTTCGAGGAATCACTTTTAGGAATTCCGCCGACCCCCTTTTTGTGGCTACAGAATGGAGAGGGTACGTGGATTGGTGATAAAGGAGCTGGGGACGGCAGTTTCACAAACATGGTTCCAACTTTATGAAGGAAAAAAGGGAGAAGCAATTCCTCGAAAACTTAAAGAAACATACACCCCAACCCCCCCCCCCCCAAAAAAAAAAAACCCCAAAACAACGACAACGACAACAAAGACAGACTGATATTAAAGGATGTTAAATATTTCTTACCTAGATCATTGTCTGGCCTTCTCAAAACATCTTTTTCAAACAGTTGAAGAAGTTGAAAATCTTTATCACTGTCTTGTTTATAATTTCTTACTTTTACCATAGTAAATCTTTCATTCTCTCTCCTATTTATAGATTGACTGTGATGACGGATCTGATGAAGCAAGTTGTCCTATCATTGATCGTGTATGTATAACGGTTGGTACTGTCCAGTGTACGTATGGACATGTGTGTGCTGTACTCTGCAATGGTGTCCGGGAGTGCCCTGTCAATGGTGAGCAGACTGAACAGTACCATATACCGGAGCACTTATCGATGGTTTAGTGACACAAAGACGTAACTCTATATTTGCCAAAATGAGTATTTGATATCAGAATGTTCAGAAAAATGTGGGCTTTCCAGGAAACCAAAGACTTAACTCCACCCAACAACACATTGAAGTCAATGGCTAGTGAAACATATACTTAATACCCAAGTGCTCAGTGAGACATAAACCACTTTTATTAAAAATGGCCAAAATGGAGTTATGTCTTTGTATCACTGACCCATCGATATATTTTATTTGAGTTGTGCATTTGAAAGCAGTATAAGTTTATCGTGTTTATGAGTAGCTATTAGGGACTTTTAAATTTCCACGACGAGAGCGTGGACTACCGCGTGTGACATTGTGTTAAGGCACTGGGCCGTGCCCGGCAGGGCCTTAAAAGGACGTCACATTACCTTCAAAGGATGTCACACGTGGCGGTCCACGTTCTCGTCATGTAAATATAAAAGTCCCTAATCAATAAACGACAACACCATCAACAAAAATAAGAATTACTATTACTGCTCCCACTACTACTATTAACACTGCCACTACCACCATCACCACCACCACCACAACCACTACTTCTTCCACCCTTACTATTACTACTTCTATCACCGTATTTATGCCCCCCCCCCTTTCCCCTTCGTATTGTGTCTAATTGTGGTGAAAATATTTGAACACAGGTGAAGACGAAATCGGATGTCCGCTCACCAACTGCCAGCCATCCGAGTTTGAATGCACAAACGGACAATGCCTACCAGCATCGGATAAGTGTGACGGCTACCCGCGTTGTTCCGGCGGGGAAGACGAAATCGGATGTCAGCTGTCCAACTGCCAGCCATCCGAGTTTGAATGCACAAACGGACAATGCCTACCAGCATCGGATAAGTGTGACGGCTACCCGCGTTGTTCCGGCGGGGAAGACGAAATCGGATGTCAGCTAACCAACTGCCAGCCATCCGAGTTTGAATGTGGAAACGGACAATGCCTACCAGCATCGGATAAATGTGACGGCTACCCCCATTGTTCCGGCGGGGAAGACGAAATCGGATGTCAGCTGTCCAACTGCCAGCCATCCGAGTTTGAATGCGCAAACGGACAATGCCTACCAGCATCGGATAAGTGTGACGGCTACCCGCATTGTACTGGTGGGGAAGATGAAATCGGATGTCAGCTGACGAACTGCCAGCCATCCGAGTTTGAATGCAAAGACGGCAAGTGTATACCCGCTTCGGATAAATGTGACGGGTATCCGCATTGCTCCGGCGGGGAAGACGAAACGGATTGTTCCCTGTCAAACACGTCGCCGGTTGAATGTGGACCACCTTTGACCTTTGAATGCCCGGATAGGACTTGTATATCGTCTGACCTACTATGTAACGGACAGGTATGGATACAAACAGAACTATGGCGCCATAATATATTGTATTTCATGTAACACGAATGAATGTGGTGGTGGTTATTTTACCTGACTGCTAAGAAAGCATAAATGCTTGTAAGTAAGCAACCAGACGGCTGACGGATTTAGGTCCTCTCCGAGGGACCTGGAAATGAGGACTAATGCTTTACCAAATGGCACTAGAGCATCGACTTGGTTTCGAACCCGGGTCACCGGATCACGAGACCACTGCTCTACCGACTGAGCTATCGCGCCTCCTCAATGCAAACCATATATTTCAATTTATTCGAATTATAATCAAATCTAAACCCTATTGATGGAGAGAAAAATGAACCATCCTTGTTATATGGCAATATGGAGAGAAAAGCTTTCGTATAAAGTGTTGCACAATACCTACAGATCAGAAAGTTTAACTTTGATGTTTGTCCTTTTTGCACAAGATTGCTTATTTTAGAAATTGCGTTTTGACTTTAGGAGTTCTATTTCAACACTAATATTGATTTAAGAACCCTCTGTAGTCAGAACTGCCAACTAATGTTGTGTACATATGTAGTTTAACACATAATTGAATAAGCATGAGCCTCTTCCCCGGGTTGATTAAACTTTCATTCTGATAAAATTATTTTGTTCTTCTTCAATTTTCAGCCTGATTGTCCATACAGTGATGCGGACGAACAGCCTGGTAACTGCCGGATCATTTCTGCATGTTCCCCTAATCAGTTCGAGGTGAGTAGAAACCTAACCCAGGGGGTGTTTCACAAAGACTAAGATCGACTTTAAGTTGGACTTAAAGGAAACCAAAACCTTTATACTAAGTTACTTTTATTGTAAAGTTTAAAAGATTTGAATAAAGTCAGTGAAAATTTGAACAAAATCGGGCAAGGAATAAGAAAGTTAGAGCATTTTGAAATGACTAGTCACTAGAGGGCGGTATTCAATTTGATGACATCATCTGTGAACAACTCTCCATGCCTTTTGTACATAAAATTTCACAATTTTTTTGTTTTCTCCGTATTTATTTGTGTTCTTGATCCGACTTCATAACATGTGAAGTAGAATATCATTTTGTATGCTATATCTTGCTTTCAGGGGAGTACATTATCTCAATCACAAGAAAGAAGGAAAAACATGAAATTTGATGTACAAAAGGCATGGAGAGTTGTCCACAGATGATGTCATCAAATTGAATACCGCCCTCTAGTGACTAGTCATTTAAAAAAGCGTGCGCCTGTAATCCAGCTAAAAAGTGGAAGTTACAAACTGATTCAGCCGAGGACGCAGGTTCGAAACTGAGTCACGTCTTTCGGATGGTGACGTTTAAAGGTCGGTCCCAGACGTAAATAATCATATCTGATTGATACACGTCTGTAAAAACCCAATACACACACACACACACACACACTCTTACTTCATTATTCCTTGCCCGATTTTGTGCAAATTTTCACTGATATTTTTTTCAAATATCTTAAACTTTACAATAAAAGTAACTTAGTATGAAGGTCTTGGTTTCCTTTAACGATGGCAGGCTGTTCATACCATTGTTTGCTCTCGTCATTTACTGGCATTTGTCTCTCAAAAAACGTACAAATCATGGTAACAAATTTACAAACCGTTTTAATATTTTTTCCTAAATATCAAGATTTACCGTTGCTTTACAACAGAAAATTATTTCTTGATATCAAGAAAAGGGAATAAAAGTTAAAACAGCGCGTTCAAGATGAATTTCTGCACAACTCATGCGTTCGAAATAAATAATAGGAATAAATGTTAAAACGGCGCGCTCAGGATGAATTCAAGCAATACTTTTGCGTTTAAAATCAATCACTATAACAGTTCTTGATATCAAGAAATGATTTTCTGTTGCAAAGCAATGGTAATTCTTGATGTCAAGAAATAGGAATAAATGTTAAAACAGCTTGCCATACGCTCGTCACGTATGAATACGTTTTCAGATGAGTAATTGTGGTGGATTTCGTTTATACCTTTACATGATAATCCATCGAAGATAATGATATGTCCGATTCACTTGTTCCGTTTTGTCATTTTTGAACAAAACAGAGAATAAATTTCCAACATCGAAAATCAAGGTACAACTATAACGTGTTTCTCTTTCAGTCTGTTATTGATGTCCTTGTATCGCATCAAATGTAACATTTTCAGTTTGTAATAAGATGATTCACAGTTCTTAAAGCAATCGAAGAAATTGAGCTACAAAGCAATAAACGCACTAGGTTTACCATATCTATGTCCTTTGTCCACAGTGTGATGATGGAAGCTGTATTTACTCGGGGCTTGTCTGCAATGACCGAGATGACTGCCCGGACCAATCCGATGAAGCCGTCGAACGATGCGGATTTAGTGAGTATACGATTATAGTAATGTATCCAATATTCAAGTATAGGAGGGAGGGGTGGATGAAAATTAACAACAATCGTCAAAAGGTCTTGCAATAGATCAGTTCACGGTAAGCACATGTCCTAAATGACCCGAATATCCATATATCTTCAAAACATGAAGAGGTCCCACTTTGATTTGTACATTTTGAAATAATCACTCCAACTGCGATGCCGATGGAGGTGCTACATAAAAAGCCTTTGTTTCCCTTTTCAAAGAATACTTCCACATGTGTATCATGGAGTGCACTGTTTGTGCATAAATTAATAATGATTACAAAATTTTCATGAGCAAGAATTATGTAGGAAATTGGATTTATACGTATTTTTTCTTATGCAAGTGACTTTGTAACATTTGCATAAAACTTTCGTTAAAAATACGGTGAACCAAATGTAGTTCCTCGATTTAAAAGTTTGTTTTGTTATCTTGAGGAAGAATTGTTATATTGCGAGTCTATGTAAAAAAAAAGGAATAAGATGGCATATAATGTGGAATAACTAATTTTTACTTAATTAAAAAGGTGTTTGTAAAACAATAGCAAGAAGAGGAAGGATATTTTGTTAGTACAATTGTGATAGGTCCTTGTATATGGGCGCGGGAATCTGCCTGACATAGCAGTTTACGTAGGACACATCTCCGTGTATTTCATAATTTGGTCTGCAATGACCTTTATCTGCTCATGCTCATACTGCAACAACTGTGAACTAGATCATTGTCAAGCACTGATTATTGTAATGTATAGCTAATCCTTTTCATCACAACTATGTGAATTTAATAAGAGATGCACTTCATCGTTTCGAGTGCCGTTGATTTTAAAAACATTTCCCCCAAATTAATTAACATTGTGCTCTTTCAATCCATTCAGGTACAACAACAATGAATTTATTTTGTCCTCATTATTCAAATTCTCAAATTTTCAGATTTGTGTAACTCTGAGGACGGGTTTAGGTGCCAGGATGGAAGCTGTATACCACTGTATCAAGTCTGTAATGACGTGCTCGATTGCTCAAATGGGGAGGATGAAGATAATTGCGTTTCCACTTGTAAGTTGAAAGCAGCAAAAGTATAGAGAGAAAAATCGAAGGATAGAAACTTAAAAAGAGAGGGAAAGATAGATAGGGGAGAGAGAGGGGAGAGAGAAGGGAGAAGGAAGAAGGAAGAAGGAAGAAGGAAGAAGGGAGAAGGGAGAAGGGAGATATACACGGAGCTTTGAAGATTGTTACTTGTTTAATTTTAAATAATTATCCAGATGAAGTAGTCTTTCGTAGGGGTAGACCAGTTTACCCGTTTATCCAATATTATTATATAAAAATGAGAATGATCTTGCTTTGGGGTCTTGGAAAAGGGAGCAACGTCCGACTCACATGTCCCCAAATCGAAAATGTTTACAAAGTGACATGTTATATGCAATCCTATATACATAACAGCATCAGGAGTTTTTGGAGGAGATACCAAAGCATTTTGAATACTAACAGTCCTATGTTGTTTGACCGTGAAGCTGTAAGTTTTAGATTCTGGTTCGATTTATATTCGCTGTTTTATAACTACAATTTTCCTACATCGTCTAGTTCAACTTGTACGTCAACATTCCTTAGTGCAACTCGGCTATAGCCAAGGTAACGTTAGTACCACTTTGTAGGTGCCTTGAGCTTCCCTTTGGTTGAATACTTGCGCAATATAAATGTTAATATTATCATAATTTTCTATCAATAAACAATCTGTTTTTTCTTCCCAATCTCTCATTTGATAAGATACTAGACCCGGTATATGCCCTCCCCAGTCTAATACTGCGTACGGAGGAAACAACGACCCCGGTGTGTGCGTAGACAATTGCTTCCAGGATACTGACTGTCCAGAACCTATGAAATGCTGTGCAGCGCCCTCTGAGTGCGGTCTAACATGCACACAGGTGTTCCTTCCGGCTAATCCACTTACAGGTATTTTGTTGATTCAACTTATACAGTTATTGGCAGATCCGGGATTTGTGTTCCACCTAAGAAAAGGCATTTGATATTTTCCCCGGCCCTCTCCCCCATTGTCCACCAATGAAACATTGGGTTTGCTTTGGTTACGATAAGCATATCTACATGTATGAGAGTCTGGTTTGTGGAATGTTACAGGGTCTACAGTACTTACTCTAAAAAATGGTGGCAAATACATGACGATGTATTCGTTCGTTCGTGCAAAGAATATCAGGGAGTACATCATCTAGATAGGAAGATCCTTATTAAGCCAACATATTGTCTCATCATCGAGCTCGCGATGTCCGGAAGCGCCGTGGGGGATTTGTAGGTCGGACAAACATCAATGACATGATCCATAGTTTGGATCTCTCCACATGCGCAGTTTGGTGATGATTCAGCTCCAATTTTATGTAGGAAATGTTGTGTACGGCCAACTCCAGTTCTGATACGGTTTAGGTTGACCCAGGCTTTTCTTGGGAGGTCGCAGCCACTTGGTTGTGTATTCATATATAACAAAAACTTAATATTTAAAACATCGGTATATAGTAATCATTATTAAACAATGCAATGCCATTTAATTTCTATGTACATTATGTTTACAAAAATGTTTGATTACATGCAGTCATGGCGTGGATAATCATTTTTGGTTTTACACTGTCGATGCACTTTTCCTTTACATAATTTGAAACATGCATTGTTTATGAATAACTTATTTACGTCTTTCAATTCTTTGATCCAGGGCTGACGGAACTAACGAACTTAATTGAGATCCTTCAGGACGATCTAAATATCATCAATAATGAAGGTGAATATTTTTTTTTAAATCACCTATGATAACATATTTGAAACATATATTATGGTGGTGATCCTAAATATCCCGCTGCGACAATTCTTCCGCCTCTTTTTTTCAAAAGTAGAGGGTAATGTTTGCGATTCCGTTTCAAGTTAAAGTAAGTGTAGTGAAAGGTCCAACTTAGGAATTTGTTCGGTTAGTGTAGGAAATTAACCGCGGAGCATTTGATGCCTGAGCGTGTGTCTTGCTACTACAACAATTGATCCTGACATCGAAGCTTTCATATATGCCAACAAGTGTGAAAAAAGTACTGAACAAAAATATGTAACTTATATTGGAGGTGTAGCAAATTTCATTCTGTGCCAACTTTTACAAATTTGGAGAAATTGTAAGTCAAATTTATTATAGTAAACGTCTGCAGTTTTAAGGACATAATTCTGTTTGATATTACGATAGTATTTATTATCACCATTTAATTCACTTTATTCCATCTTTGTTTTTGTAGTTGCGATCCTTGCAGACGATGTAGGCGGTATAGAAACAAGATTAGGAGCCCTTGAAACAGATTCACAACTACTGAGACAAGATGTGGATATCCTCAAACAACAAGCAAATGAAAACAACCAACCTTACGCACCGCAAGAAGTCCAACCATATGAACCAGAAGCTGTTCAACCTTACGCACCGCAAGAAGTCCAACCATATGAACCAGAAGCTGTTCAACCTTACGCACCGCAAGAAGTCCAACCATATGAACCAGAAGCTGTTCAACCGTACGAACCCCAAGATGTCAGGCCGTACGAACCACAAAATGTCCGACCGTACGAACCGCAAGATGTTCGACCGCCCGAACCACAAAATGTCCGACCGTATGAACCGCAAGATGTCCGACCGCCCGAACCACAAAATGTCCGACCGTACGAACCGCAAGATGTCCGACCGCCCGAACCACAAAATGTCCGACCGTACGAACCACAAGATGTCCGACCGCCCGAACCACAAAATGTCCGACCGTACGAACCACAAGACGTCCGACCGCCCGAACCACAAAATGTCCGACCATACGAACCGCAAGATGTCCGACCGCCCGAACCACAAAATGTCCGACCGTACGAACCGCAAGATGTCCGACCGCCCGAACCACAAAATGTCCGACCGTACGAACCACAAAATGTCCGGCCGTACGAACCGCAAGATGTCCGACCGCCCGAACCACAAAATGTCCGACCGTACGAACCACAAGACGTCCGACCGCCCGAACCACAAAATGTCCGACCGTACGAACCACAAGACGTCCGACCGCCCGAACCACAAAATGTCCGACCGTACGAACCGCAAGATGTCCGACCGCCCGAACCACAAAATGTCCGACCGTACGAACCACAAGATGTCCGACCTTACGAACCACAAGAAGTCAGACCGTACGAACCACAAGACGTCAGGCCTTACGAAACGCATAATGCCCGACCTTAATAACCACAAGACGTCCAACCTTCAAAACACAGGATGTCTGACCATACGAATCACAGGACGTTGGGCCCTAAGATCCATACATTGCCTGACCTTAAAAGACGTTTTCTGTGGGTTTTTTGCCAATATTAAAAAGATATAAACTATTGGAAATAAATTTATATTGTAAGCTTCAAATCATCCAAATAATATGAAGAACGGTATTGAGCTTCAGAGAATTTGAGAAAACATAAATAAAATAATGACCTATCAAAAGGATGAGCTATTTTGATTCAAGCAACCACAGCAACATATGGCACGCCTGGCAACAACCTAAATGATTTGTACACATCCAATCAAAATATAAGACAATGCCAAATTATTTCAGTATTAGCACTATACATTGTAACTTCATTTTTATTTAGTTAATTAATATTAATCAGACGAAATAAACCTGCAAAATTATATATTTAAAAAATATCAATTGCACTCAATGGTTTGAAATTACTTGAACTTGAATACAAATAAAATTTAAAGGTTATAGTTTTTAACTTTTGAAATAAAAGAAAATTCCTTGTTTGGCACCAGTCTACGTATGCCATCATAGGCCTATATCATGTTAGTTGCTATGATTGTATCACATCATTCTGTGTTAGCTTTATGTTAGATTTCAGTAATTATTTTTATGACTAAAATCAAGTGTCATTTTATTGTATTTATTTTGCAAAAAAGAGATTTGTTTGGATATAATTGATGGACACTTCCACTGATGGATTACAAATTAAAAGTGAAATTTGATTTCACTCTAAACTTGGTAAATCGATTGTAGTTTTGTCAAATGCTTTCCTTACTTTTTCACCCCGTGGATGTTCCTTCAACATGAAGTTTCCCTAAATGTTACCTTAAGGAAGAGATATGCCAGTTCCAGCGGCCCTCTACATGTCCGAGTCATATAGTAGGGGGGGGGGAGAATTTTTCTTTCCCTCCTGAAAAAGGACAACGTTAACCAAGTACAGTAATACAACAAAATTGGAAAAAATATCATGAAAGGGAGGATAAAATGAAAAAGGAGGTCGTGGAGAATGTTAAAATTAATTAAATTGTTCTGGCATGTTGAGATATAAGGAGAGTGAAAGGGAGAAAATAGATAACGGGTGTGAGAATGAACGAGCGGGAGAGGAACAAAGGATGATGAGAGAGAGAGAAAGAGAGAGAGAGAGAAAGAGAGAGAGAGAAGGAAAGAAGAGTGAACAAGGAGAGAGTGGAAGTGAAAATGAAAGAGTGGGAATAATGGAAAAGAGAGCGATGGATGTATGGCAATGGAAATATCATAATGCAGTAAAAGCCAGAGGAAAAATACATATAACGGATAGAAGTATAAAGACAAAAACGTGGTATAAATAACACCTACAATTATTGATTACAAGTTTTCATGATCATTACAAATGTTGCAAGTCCCCCGGGATTCTCGGACCTGCCGCACCGTAAAGTTACCGTCCGATTTGATTAATATTTCATTTCAGAGTATATATGTCGATTGATACATTTGTTGTTAAATATTGTGGTGGGTGTCGGGCCCATTTCAGGAAGAGTATTCTCCCCCCCTTTTTTGGGGGGGGGGGGGGCTAAGGGGATATGGGGGACATCAGGGACTTGGGATCCTAAAATTAACTTTTTACATGTGCCTCGTTTAACTTCATTTATAATCAATATTTTGCGGGTAAGGGCTTTGCAGGGTGGGGGCTTTAGCCCCTAACCCCTCCCCATCTACAACCGCTACTGATGGATGTAGGTGTTTAGCAAATTAGGACTTAATAACAACTTGGTTCTTAAATACTAAATATTGCTGCTGTCAGAGAAAAATCAGTACGAGTAAACAAACTTCCGTGTATTCTTTGATTTCTTTCTGTTGATTCAAGCCTTATTCGCTCTATCCCGCTAGCAGCAGGTGCAGAGCGTGGTAATCGAGTAGGTATGTAACTATTCAAACTAGCCTGATGAGACGATTATATATGCTAATGCCTGATTTACAAGGGGCAGACGTAAGTATTAGTGTGAGAGGTTTCGTAATCCTTTATGGAATTAAGCGTATGGGGGAGGAGATTCAGGAAACGTGTTTTTAATGAGAATTTCTGCATGTTTGAAGTCGTAGAAAAATGGAATCAAGATAATGAAAATCAGTTATTTATATAAAGAAAATGAACAAGATAAACAAATTAAGTGTGGTACTGATTTGATTCCTTTGCGTTGTCCTGTCATTTTTGTTCTCTTCCTTTGCATCTTCTATTTCTTGCATTATTCTTTTCCATCCTTTTCATTATTTTGTCCTTCACCATTCGAGATCTTTCAGGGGCACGTTCCCCTCCCCACCCCTTGAAGCTTCCCCTCTGATCGTAGGACACGACGAACCGAGCATTAACATTATTTGCATCGAATGCATTATACCTGTCAAAATCCCTATACATGTATGTTCGACAACAATTATACCAAAGCGCATTTCTCACTTTAATTGTTACACCTTTTTGTTATGATACTACAGATGTATTTGGAAATTATTTACCAAACTCATGCTGGACTTCGAAGTTTGAAATTCATATAGGAAATATCGCAAGTGTATTACAAGCTCAAAGAGAAGGTTGGGTCCTAGGGAGAGGTGAAAATAATTTGTGAGCGTTATCATTGTTATTATACAAGTGTGGATGAACATCAGAGAAAAAATGGTCCCTGAAAGCATGGCACTACAAATTCCTTCATATTCTAAATATGGCATGAAACAGCTTAAAAATGAGGGCCTCATTTTTATGCCACATGTTTGTGTAGTCCCGTATACATCTTTCTGTGCACAGTGCCTGTTACTGTTACTAAGACTAGGACAAATATCTTATCATTTTGATGATTCCAGGACCTTGCAGTACACACCAATACTTATATATATATATATATGCTACTTGATCAACCTTTTCTGATTGATTCCACACCGTTTCTCTGACAATGCAATCGCATGACCAGGGGGGGGGGGGGGGGTATTTCACAAAGATCTTAAAGTCAAACTTAACTCTAAGTTGGACTTAAACATTATGGAGAGCCATTTGTAGCCTCAAAATAAAAGATATTCAAAAGCAAAAATTCAATTTTTTTGGACTCTTTATAAATTCCACATCAAGAACATGACATCTCCTTGATAATACAAAATATGAATGATTTGAATCAACATTTTATGCCTTTTAAAACAACTTTAACAAATTTATTTTCATATATGCTAACAGCTTTCCATAACTGTTAAGTCCAACCTAGAGAAGAGTTCAACTTAGGATCTTTGTGAAAATACCCCCAAGAACTCGTGGTGAAGCGGTACCAGCACAAATCAGAAGAAATTGAAGTTGATAGAAATGGTGCAGTCGATCAAACTAGGCAGCCATTAGTTTATGATAAATTGAAAACATCTGGTAGAATGGATCTAATTTGCTACAGATTTAGACATCATTAGAAAAGCTTAAACATATCTCTGTTTAAAGCTAATTCTTTAATGTTCCTGTACAAATCACCTCTGATATAAGAAAGAGCAAAATTACATCAACTAATATTTTAGAAGGAGGAAGTACAAAGGTAAAACAAATTATTTTATTACTTTACACGCAGTATTTTTCTCTCGCTCTCTCTCTCTCTCTCTCTTTCACTCTCTCTTTCTCTCTCTCTTTCACCCTCTCTTTCACCCTCTCTCTCTATCTCTCTCTCTCTCTCTCTCTTCACTCTCTCTCTCTCTCTCTTTCACCCTCTCTCTCTCTATCTCTCTCTCTCTCTCTCTTTCACTCTCTCTCTCTTTCACCCTCTCTCTCTCTCTCTCTATCTCTCTCTCTCTCTCTCTCATTCTCTCTCTCTCCCTCTTCCTCCCTTCCTGTCTTCCTCTCCATGTCTCTCTTTCCATTGACTCTCATTTTAACGATATCATGTTATGTAAATCAAGTATGTAGCCTCCTCTCCAATCCCTCCACACCCCTCCCCCCTCCCCTCCCCTCCCAATCCAATGTCCTCTCGTCATATTCCTCTCCGCGTCATATTCTCTTCTGGTATTTGTGAAACATAACTAGATGTGTCATCGTGCTAATGGCATCATGTGCTGAGACACAACAGTTGCCAGTGACGTGATTGATGTCAAACCAGTGAGGTATCATAACAAGGGTGTACCTGCAAAATAGAAAACTCATACAAAAACAATTCAATTCACATAAATATTCAGTCTATATTCACATTAAAAAAAAGGCATTTTGTAAAAATTTTAGCAACTAATGATTATTTATGGCTGGGTTTCCTTCCAAAGTATAATGGCATGAAGAAGAAAAAACATATACGAGTATTCACTGCATCGGGAGGGTGAGATGATTGTAAAATTACTGTTTATTTAGTATATTCATAATACACTGTAATTCTATTTTGATGTTAACAACTGCCAATGTTAATATAATATATATTTCATTACTATATTGGGACTATAAGAAATCGTTTACATGATCATTTTATATTCCCTACCAAAAACTCAGTACAGCATGCTATTGCTATGAGAACTACTTATTAAAGAGTTTGTTTTTGTCTGCTTCTTCCTCCCATACTCAACCGACAAAACCGAATCCCTCTAGAAGTATTAAATATGTATTCATGTATTTTTTGTAAAAGCCATGTAACGTACACCCCCCCCCCCTTCCCATCCAACCCTACGTACGCCGTAGATTTCATTTCATGGCAAATCTTAATTGTACAGTCGATTTACCTGTAATGTTATTAAACTGTATGTGATATATTGTAGACGGATTTGTCATGCATGAAGTTCTAACCCACGGACAAGGCTTTAACGAGTAAATTGGCACAAACACCTGTTTACCGCTGATTAAATATTCAACAAAAAAATTGTGGAGCGCCAGAACGATGAGCTCACTATTTATGAAGAAGATCGATGCTGTTATAACCACAAGCGTGTTAACCTTACACGTTGTCTATTGTTGTCATGTTCATGTTTATCCACAGGGCGGGAGAGGTGAGGAGGAGAAGGGAGGGCGGGGGAGGGGGAGGAGGAGGGGAGGGGAGGAGGTGAGGAGGGGTGGAGAGGGAGAGGGGTAGAGGGGTGGAGGGGGAGGGAGAGAGGGAATGGTGGATGGATGGAAGGGAGAGCGTTAGAGAGAGAGGGGAGAGAGAAGGGGGAGAAACACACACACACACTCTCTATCTCTCTCTCTCTCTCTCTCTCTCTCTCTCTCACACACACACACACACACACACACACACGCATAGAGGCAGACATAGATAATCAAAGGAAGAGAGAGGAGAGGGAGATAAAGAGAGAGAGAGCAAGAGAGAAAGAGAGAGAGAGAGAGAGAGAGAGAGCAAGAGAGACAGGCAGAGAGAGAGAGAGCGCGCGCTACTCTTCACTGTATGATATGCCAAGAAAATTATTATTAACCTGTAGATCATTAGCAGACCAGATTTCCACGAACAATTTTGGCTTCATACCACTGCTGGTAATATAATAGTGCAGCAGTGCGCTGTCTCACTCTCACGATGCTAGCCATTTAAATAGTAACTGGATACTTTGAATGCCATATGTTCTCGTTTTTAATTACTGGTGTGTCAGGGAATTAGTAGTGATCATTGCTTTCGAAGTGAACTTTCACCCTGATCATCAGAACTCTATACATTAGAGATCTCTTATCATCGTCTGTTTAGATC